CAGATCCAAGTTCCTTTAGCCAAGGAATCAATAAATACTTTTCTTTAAAAAAATCCCAGCTGTAGAATGGCAGGGTGGCTCAGTTGGTTGGAGTGTCCCATACACCAAAGAGGTTTTGGGTTTGATTCCAAGTCAGGAATAGCGATCCTAAAATATCTATAGTTAAGTTCAGACTCTGCTTACGGGAGGCCATCGATAGATTTTCCCCCCTCACATCGATATTTCTCTCTCCCCCTTCCTCTCTCTCTGAAGATTAAAAAAATCCTAGCCATATATTTAAAGAGGCCTGCCAATTGGCAATCTATTGTTTAAGGGTAAAATTCAATTTTCCATCCTAGTTATAACTGAGGCAACTTAAAAAGCATTACTGTGGCAAGCCCGTAGTTCAGTTTACTTTTGCAGTTTATGGTAGCAGAGTCTGAATAACTATAGATATTTTAGGATCCCTATGTCTGACTTCTGTTGGTCTAGAGAGCGCTACTCACAGTGTATGCCTATAAACTTTTGAGTACAACACAAAACTTTCATTGACTAATATGCCCTGCTATAAAAACAAAATCCCCAAACCAGCCAACAGATCTAAATGCTGTGTTTAGTGATGCAGGTGATTTCCATTCCAGTACAAACTTAACCTTGAATAATACCAGTCCAGAGCACATTTAATATTTCCGGGTGAATCACATGGTATTTCCATATCCCCCTGTCAAAGGGAAGAGAAGGACCCCCGCCCAAGCCCTCACCTGGCATCAGGCCTTACCTTACATCTTCCTTTAGCTTTTTGTTTTCCCTGTAGTGAAGCAACCATTTCCATCTTCCGTTTCCATTTAGTTTCTCCAGGGCTTTCACAATCTCCTTCAGTTGAACTACAGGATAGAATAAATTGTGTTTTAAAATTTTTGGTTTTCTACTCAAAGCCCAGAATTTATTACTTGTAAAAAAAAAAAATACCTGTGTTTGAGTGTATACCATCATTGATTGCCACTTGTATGGCTGTATAGGACCCCATATTGTATTTCAAAGATACAGCAATCTATGGCCCCTCGATTCAGCCCTACCTACTCATACTGCAGTAGGAGAGAGCTCTGCAGAGAAAGCACTGCAACTCATAGCAGTTAAAGCTTTGAACATATAGAGATCACATAGGAGGTTTAGTTGCAACAGCAAAGTCCACGTTTCTAAATACAGAATCTACAAATATTTTTCACCTCCAATTTCCATGTACAATTCATGCTTGAGCTAGGCGGGTTTTGATCGTACATAAAAGTGTCTGCTCTGTGCTCTGACAATCTCCTAGGTCAACTCAGGGTTAGGGTCAATGACTGCCCATGCAATGGATTAACTACATATAACTTAAGTAGATCCCCTACCCTGACAGATTCCCAATCTCCAGTTGACCCTTGAACTACTCAGGTAAAGTATAAGTAGATGCACATAGCTCAAACTCACGCTGTTAAGGGTCAACTGTATGAGTGTTCAAGCAGATAATTAACATGACTTCCAGTAACCATTTTTTTAGATTTCCATATCAGTAAGGTAGTGTGACAGCAACAGAAATGAAAGAGGACTGATTCTAAACAAAATCTGTATCTGACTTCATTTGGCAAGTGAAGGAATCAAATTTAACAAAATCTCAAATATGTATGACTATTTTAGCCACAATCCTGAGAGAAGGAACTTAGGAGCTGGTTTAGTGGTAAGGACAATCAGTAAAACAAGGGAGGTTAAGAGCATGCATATTGGGAATGAGAACTATATAAAAAACTGCTTAGCGTAGCATACAGCAAAAATTAAGCCCTTAAGAGGTAGAGACTGACATTATTTTGAGTTGATATTTTTCATGAAATAGTACTTAAGAAACAGGAAAGGAAATTAAAAGGCTAACCTAATGTTAAAGTTTCTAATATTCTGTCATCTGATACCACAAAGCCTCCAGTCCGAAACAGCTCTTGGAAGGTGTAATTGAGAACATCTTCAGGGCTGTCTACTCCGGCGAAGATGACACTGGGAAAATGCTTGAGCTTCAGCAAAGAAGGAATCTATTATAAACACAAAAGGATCCCACAAAAAAGATAAATTTACTGGGTTTTGTCACTTTTCATCCGAGGGTTTCAAGATTCAGGACAGCTAAAAATACTTTAACCTTGATGACTGATAGATAATTCCACCACACATAAGGAATATTAACTCAGTTCATCATAAACATGTAAATACAAAGTCTCTATAACTGCAAAGGTTGGAGATAGGGAAAAGTACACCTGAGGCTTTAGGGACCTGTAATCAGGCAGGTAACAAGCTAACACCATCCCCTGTCTTCGGCTTCACTTGGTATAGGTGCTGTAGGGATCGGTTACTACCTCCTGATAGGCTGCCGCTATGCCCGTAAGTTAGATCTTCTTGGAAGAACCAATTACTTTTATTCAACTAATAGGTAAATATAACAAAGAGTTAAGAAAAATTTTATAATTCCTATAAAAGAAAGTTTTGTTACTATTATATGAAAATTTATCAGTATCTTTTTATAGTTCTGTCTTAGTTAATTATTATAAATAAAAAAAGGCAGTGACAAGTCTGATAATTATAGAGTAACAAAGGCCTGGAACACATTTCTTTGTAAGAAAGGTTATTTTCAAACCTACTTGATGTAAATGTGATGAGATATCTTCATTTTTGATGATGACCATTAGCATATCATTCTCTCTGTGAAAAGCTTGACAGAAATGCTGAGGTTCAATTTCTGTATGGCCTCCTTTCCTCAGAATATTCTGAAAGATTTACAAATAGCCATTACTAAAAAAAAAAGATGAATGCACAGAACTTTTATAATTTACTAAGAACATAAAAAAGCACCTCCTATTTACTAAATTATATCCTAACAAGGCAACAATAAGTGGCAGTTTGTCTTATACTAAGTGAGCTTTCACCTGTGAAAGAAATGACTCCTCAGTATCACTAACGGTTGGGTTTTATAAGTTTATTTCAAAGGCAAAAAAAAAAAAAAAAAAAAAGCCTTGGCCAGTGTGGTTCAGTTTGGAGCACCATCCTGTGCACCGGAAGATCATGGGTTCAATTCCCAGTCGGCACATACCCAGGTTGCAGGTTCAATCCTTGGTCTGGGCACATATGGGAGGCAACTGATTGATGTATATCACATCGATGTCTCTCTGCCCTTCCTCTCTAAAAATCAATTTATAAAAAAGGCAAAAAAAAAGCACTATAGGGTTTTTTATGTCTATAGAGTATCAAAGGCTGATTTTTTTTTTTTAACCACCAGACTAATATATTGAGTCTCACTCTCTTCAAGGGGATTTACCTTGGGCATGCTGTGATGCACTAAAAAATGTTTCTGGTCAAAATGTTTCTAGAACATACTTTTGAATATAATACCCATAACAGCTATGTATTACTTCGAGTATCATTAAATGGATATTGGTTTTGAGGTGAGAGAACAGTCTCTTGGATGTGGGGACTTGACCATGAAGATATATGTGCATGGTTATTAGGCAATGCTGTTACACAGAATAGGGCTGTAATAGCCTGCTTGGGGGAGGGTAAGTTCATTTAATAAAAACATTAACTTTGTCCTTTGTGATTTTGACAGTTTGTTTGAAGGATTCTGGATGTTTCCATTGCACACCTTGATGTTCCTAGTTATATAAGAAACACTGTATTTTGACTATTTCAATTCATCAAAATGTATGGGCCATGTATTTTCAAATTCCTACAGGCAAGATTTCTTTTAACAGAGCCCAATAAAATGTCTAAATATAAATCTTATCCCTCACTTATTTCAATAAATTATTTGAATAAATACATTTTCTGTTCAACATTTTCACCAAACGCTGTGGCATTCGTGTTGTGGGCTCTTGTCATGCAGTCTGAATTTTGACAGATCTTCCTCATCTTACATAAAAATGGGTCATGACATCCCATCATCAACTGAACGCTTCAGAATTCTTCAGGACTGAAGAATTTTATTTTATGTGTCAACTCTCTCACTTGGAGATTAGTTTTATCTTTGCACACAATTTGTTATTTTCTGTTGTAAATAGTGGCCATATGATAAGATATTATGAAACAGCACATTCACTATTGAAACAGGCATGATGATATCTTGAAATATTCCTACCAGACCTATGATCTCTCCATATGAAAACCAGTGTCATCCGTGCTCTGTAAAGGGTTTGAGAACTAAGATATTGCACTGTTACTTTTGAGAAGGAAGCAAAAAGAATTTAAGCATTCTGTTCAAGGTGGCAAAACAGGGATATGGCGATGATGCTAACTCAATCTGACTTATTTAGGACATGTTTCAGGAATAATTAGCCAAATAAAATTACAGTACACCCTTAATTTTTCAGACCCTGATTTAATGGACTTCAGATTTAAAAGACAAAATTTCTGGTCCATTTGTCATATGAGTGTCACATGTGAAAATTAACACCTTGTTAATTTTAAAATGCTTTTAACCAATAATTAAATTAACAGGTTTTTTTTGTTAATTTATTTTTAAGAAATTTTAGCAAATAGGCCATATGTTGGGGAAAAATACTAGTGATTTTGTTGACATAAATATTACATAGTTACAGCTATAGTCTACATATTTAAGTCCAAGTGTCACTGCTCGTAAACAATGCTGGGCAAATGATTAGCATGTGATCACACCACATCTTGCGAGGTAACTGGGTTTGTTGTCTCACTGTGTGACTTTCTGAAGTAGTTATATAACTCATGCTGGCCGGTGTTCCAATGTGTGCTAAGCCACACCCCAGCTGTGTGCATTTGTTTACTGGAGATGACTGGTGAATGCACACATTTAACCAGACCTATTCAGTATAAATTTAAAATTACAGTAACACATATAGAAAACTTTTCTGTGAAATTAAAGTTTTCATACATAGTTAAATTTAATTACACAAACATGTCTACATAAGTAAAAACGGGTTAACAAATTTGTCAATATTTTAACATACATTCAGAAAACCTACTTTATTATATAACAGACTTTCTGCTTTAACAGACTGTCCCTTGCCTGAATTAGTCCATTATATTGAGGATTTTACTGTAACTTTAATTCAAGGTAAAAAGGAAATGAATTTTCAGGTTACTTTTGGAGGCTAAGCACCTTCAAAAGGACTGAAGGCTATTTAATACTTTTTCAATGATACTTCTTACCAAAATGGCATGTAAACTGGAACAAAAACTATGGGGGTTTGGGTAGGTGGGTACAGGGACAAATCTGGCAACCATTTATGAAGTACCTTGGAGAAGAAAATAATCCTCAACAGGAAAATAAAATCTGTTAAACAGAAAGATCAGACTCCATAAATCTGGAATAAATTTTAAATATTTTAAGATCATAATTAAATTACACAAAATAGGAGCCATCAGCTATCTTATCTTGAAGAAAGTAACTAACAATGGATAGCTTCAAGTTAAAGCTTATCTATCATTTTTCCAGTCCATGCTATAGTCTAAATGCCTTAGCATGATTTCTATTAAGGCCCTTCCATCCTAAAATGGCCCTTTCTTACATCTCTAGACTTGTTTCTTGACAGAACACACTATGCTCCAGGCATGATGAGCAGCCTCTTCACTGGGCCCGTGTACTCTTATGGCCCTTTCAGAAACCCTCTCAGGGTTCCCTTATGCTTTTCTTCCTGCAGCACTGAACCAATGACTAAAACTGCCTGCTGTCCCTCTGGGCAGACTTCCGACCCCTGAGGGGAGTGTCTGTGTTACATCCACTGCATCCTCCACACAGAGAACCTCGAGTTACCAGCTTCACACCTGCTTCTGGGAAGAGCAGGAAGCTGCTTTACATGTTTCATTAGCATCTACCTGATGTGCCCCTCTGTGATAACTGTCACACTCATCACATACAACATCTTCAGATGTCTAACGTTACTCAGTAACTCAACATTTATGGACTTACCAAGTGACAGATAATCTGAAATACAGGACTTCTCAGAAGTACTGACATAAGTGAACTATAAAACAAATCTAGCCAAACATTTAGAACCAGAACACTTACTAATCTAGCCTTCCACACCCCACACAAGAGGTCAACCTTGCTAACTTTAGTAAAATATTCCTGACTCCCCCCTCAAAACAATTTCAAAGCACCTGCACCAATACCACACTTAATTTTACATTCACATTTTTGTTTCTTTTATCAGTGTTTTTCATTTCCCCTCATGTGTACATGTTAGGGCTCTAAAACAGACACTGAGAAGGATTGCTTTCATTTGAACTGGCTCCTGCCACCAGTGGGGGTGGCTCCTGCCACCTTTGGGCTGGTGCTCCAGGCAGGTGAAGATGGGGCTGTCATGACCACGGCTAATTACACTTGGGGTAGGAGGTGAGCCAAACAGCAGGTACAATGAGGGCAATTGAGAACCCTTACAGCTTGAGAAGGAACTGCAAGTGTGACAAAGGTAGGATAGACCTGGTGGTACTGGACTGGAATTGGGGAGCAGTGTGCCCTATTTTTATTTTAAAAAAGAAACATACAGGTGTTATTTGTACATTTAACAGATAGTTCTTGGCTGTTTGCTTGACGGATGTAGATGCAAAGGCATCCAGTAGCACTGAGTTCACCCACTGCCAAGTCTTGATTCTGTGGCAGGCAGTTAGACAGACATGAGCAGAGCAAGGATGATGGGCCAGATACACAAGGTCACCAGGGTAGAAGGTCCCGGGTGCCTAGCAATGGGCGTTTGTAGGGTCGGATCTCGTTCCCAGGGTGACCTTTCCTCCTCTAGCATATTGTTGGTTTAGACCCCAATCCCATGACATTTCTTTCCTAGAGATTAACATCTAGGCCTCAGTTGTGTCTCAGGTCCAGGCCCAGGAAAGCAGCAAAACCAGACAAGCAACCCCACAGCTGACCTTAGGACCAGATGCATTGGAGAATGATCCCCTGCCCTGGCACCAACTAACTAATTAGTCGGGGGAGACCTAGACCTTGAAAGGACACACCTGGAAAGCTGATGAATATTCTACTGACATCTTCCCTTAGGACCTCCCCTGAAATCTCCACCCTTAGGACTGAGGACCCAGCATGCTCTCCCAGGAGCACACCTATTTCCTTCCCCAGTCCCTTCTCTATCCTCCCCAGGCACGTCACCTATACCTTCCTCACTTCTAAGCTCCAAGGGCCCTTCCTTTACCTCTATCACTTGTTTTCTAAGCCCATTTCTTCTATGAAACTTCTGCCTCTCTGATTTTCCAAATGAATGTTCTCTTATAGTTTGAGTCTTGGCTCTGAATTCTTTCCTAGCTAGAACTCAAGTTCCAAGGTTGCTGAACCCAGATCTGGTCTGACCCCACTGGTCTAACACCTGGTGCCATTCTTGCTGCCCACAACAATTCCAAATGCGATTCTTCACTAAAACGAATCACAGCTCCTTGGAGAAGTGGCTGACTTCAAGGCTGAGTGAGGAAATACACAAGATAAGCCTGTAGCATCACATTGTACCACAAAGGGAGAAGTTAGCCAAAGAATTACAGGGACTTGTCTAAAGGACACAGAAGCCAACTCTTAAAGGGACTCCCACTAGCTGGGTCTGGGGAAATCTGAGCATTAACATAATGATAACCAAATGATAACTTTTGAGTAAAATAATATGGAACATGGGTTCACACTGATATAAGCAAAAGAACAAATGGAAGGGAACGAAAAGCTCTACCCTACAGCAGAAGGCCAACTAAGGAATGTACAAGGAATGACAGAATTAGAATACCACGATGTGGCAACCATCACAATATCTGATTCAGACAAGAATCAATCTGGTGGGTGAAAGTCTCAAGAAGAATAGGATATTTACATATTCTATTGTATCTCCCACTTACTAATAACTACAACATGATTATTAACTGTATATTGGAGGGAATTAGTAGAAACTATCAACAAAATGAAAAATGTTAATACAGTAAAACCTTAATATAATGGATTAATTTGGGCAAGGTGGTGTCTTTTAAAGCTGAAAGTCGGTTATATATAATAAAGCAGGACTTCCAAATGTGTATGTTAAAAAATTGACAAATTAGTTTACTTGTTTTTACTTATTAGACATGTTTGTGTAATTAAAATGAAATATTATAAAAAAATTATTTCACAGAGATTTTCTATACTGTAATTTTAAATTTATCCTGAATAGGTTTAGTAAATGCATGTATTCACCAGTCACCATGAGTAAACAAATGCACATAGCTGGGGCGTGGCTTAGCACAAATCAGAACACCAGCCAGCATAAAGTCACCTGAGAAAACAGAACCAATCACCTCGAGAGATTCACTGTGATCATGTGCTAATCATTCTCCCAACACTGTTTATGGTGACTCTAACTTAAATATGTAGACTTTAGTTGTAGATATGTAATAATTATGTTGGTGAAATTACTAGTGGTTTTTCCAACATATGGCCTACATACTAAAATTTTGTTAAAAATAACAGTGAATTAACAATAACAAAAATAACCTGTTAATTATAAGCAAATTTTGATTAAAAGCGTTTTAAAATTAACAAGGTTTTATTTTTCACTGGAAATTTTGTCCATTAAATCTGAAGTCCTTTAAATTGAAACCTGCAAAATCAAAGTTTTACTGTACAATAGGAATCTGACAAAAACAGACACATGATAAGCAAAGACAATATGATACTGAACTTAAGATGGGGTCTGTGGGCTGAACTAGCACAGTGCATTAGTGCTCAGGTCCTGATTTCTAGGGTTGTGCTGTGATCATACAAAACAGTGTCCTTCTTGTTGGGTAATATACACAGTTGCTTCCTTAGTGCAGCAGTCTCATATGAAGGTAATACATATGTATTCAGAGGTAATGGGACATCGTAACTGCAACATATTTTCAAATGGTTCAGAAATGTTAACAGTGGGGCATCTGGGTGAAATGTAAATAGTGAGGTATCTTTTAACATTCAGAAATGTTAACATTTCTGCAACCTTCATATGAATTTGAAATTATACTTTAAAAGTTAAAACAAAAGAGAGAATACTGTATTTTCTAAAAATATAAGAGAAATTATGAGGGGATAAAATGAGGAAGCTCATGGTAAATGGAAATGGATTCTGGCTCCTGTGAAGTTAGAATTTTACCATGGTTACATCATTTAAAATTAAGTATCATGTTCTTATGAGAACATCAGTTATCCTAAAATTCAATAAAAAAATACATCTAAAACAGTGGTTCTCAACCTTCTGGCCTTTTAAATACAGTTTCTCATGTTGTGACCCAACCATAAAATTATTTTCGTTGCTACTTCATAACTGTAATGTTGCTACTGTTATAAATCATAATGTAAATAACTGATATGCAGGATGGTCTTAGGCGACCCCTGTGAAAGGGTTGTTCAACCGCCAAAGGGGTCGCGCGACCCACAGGTTGAGAACCGCTGATCTAAAACCAAAAGAGGGCCCTCTCAATTATCCATATTAATAAAGCAGTTTTCATTTAAATTATATTTTTATTGATTTCAGAGAGGAAGGGAGAGATAGAAACATCAATGAGAGAGAATCATTGATCGGTTGCCTCCTGCATGCCCCCTACTGGGGATCGAGCCCACAACCTGGGCACGTGCCCTTGACTGCAATTGAACCTGGGACCTTTCACAGGCTGATGGTCTATCCACTTAGCCAAACCAGCTAGGGCTTAATAATGTAATTTTTAAAAATCTGCATTTTACCTAAGAACCTATTTGTATTTGTATTTGAGTATGTCTATACTGGTAACTTTTTGTGAAAATTAGTCATTCCACTAATTCTGGAACATCATACGTATCTTCAAATATAGTACCAAAGACAGATAGATCCTTGCAGCATAACATTTGGTATGCAGATAAAAACTGAGCTGTGAAACTCAAATACCACTTCATATATCATCTTTTTCTGAAGCCAAGAATGCTAAATTATTTTAAGCTAAAATTAGACAGCAATCAAAATAATATAATCTATAAGAAAAAAATCTGTCACCTTACCTTTGTTCTTACAAAGAATGACTTGTCCTCTGTCTCAACGAGGTAAAACAGAAAGGTGCTTTTGCACGCCTCTTTCACCACACTTTTTAGTTTGACGCGCAAACTGTTACACAAGTCGGTAATCATGTCTTCATAGGAGGCTGATCTTCTTGGGGAAGAAGAATACATCTCTTGAGATGTGGCTTCTCCAGAACCAACATTTGACTCTTTAACTCGCAAACTGACTTGATTGCCATTCATCACCACCTTGTTGAATTCCGCATATTCATTGAGAATAAGGGAGATATCATTCCGGGATTCCTTCAAAGTACTGTTATATTTCAGTTTGTTGAGGTGGAAAGAAACAGTCTTATTTCTTTTAGAATTTGTAAGATGATTTCTCCTGCGATCACATCTTTCCTTCCAAAAGGAAGAACTGTCTAATTTGCTGGACCTGTGGCGTCTCGGGTGCTGGCTCTGTGGCCTGGAGTCTGAGTGCATGATTGTTACCAAGAGGGTACTTTTGCTCTGGGATGGAGGATGGAGAACTGAGGATTCAGATGTTTTTGGCAAAGGGAAAGCTTCAGAGGCAATTTGGAGAGGTGGTTTCTTCAAAAAGTCATTGGTGGAAGATGGAGAAAGCTGGGAATCCCCTTTCTTTACAATTTGCTTCAGTTTCTGTTGGAAACGCAGATATTCCAGATCTAAAGTGTTCTGAGTAAGGTTATCTTCTATCTGCCAAGTATCTGTCCAGGAGCTTAGCAAGCCATGTTTAGCAGGGAAATTGCGCTGCCTCCTCAGGCCGTGCAAAGTTCTCTTGGTACCTTTGACCTCTTTAGTTATAGTAAAATTAGTGTAAGTCCTGGGGATACCATGGAGATCTCTGATTTGGATGTAACATGGCACACTCTTATCTTCTTTCTTTAATCCATCAAACCGGTTTCGGGGAGGTATGCTGGTCTCCAACTCTGAAATCTGGGTAGAGTAGGCCCAATCGTCCTTATGACTATTGTTTAGGCTCAGGAAAGAGTCATAACCATCTTTCAAAGCACCTTCTTTCTTATGACTACATCGCAAAGCGCAGGAACTCTCCATGTCTAATTTGGGATTTCTACAATCACCAAAAGAGTCTTGATCAGAGTCTCCGGAAAGTGGCTCATAATGGAAGTCAGAATTCACACTATTATCCATATCTCCCTCCAGGGTTTCAGAGTCCTCCTCAGTCCTGATCCCCTCACCAGAGCTTTTATTTTCCACCTGCTCTTTAGAGACTCCACAAACAAGAGCAGCACAAGATTTGGGAACAAAAAAGGCAGAAGGCTCTTTATTGACATTTTCACTGGTGACTGCTGCGTTTTGATGAGAATCAGCATATAGATACATGGGGGAAAGTCCTTTATTCGACAGATCTTTTGTGTTGCATGTTGACATATCTTGCGGCATATGGGTGGTTTTTTGTTTGCCTTCTGGAGATGATGTGTTTGATTCAGAGTCAATACCTCCTAGGTCTATGTTGTTTTCATATAATTCAGCTTCGGTTTCACTATTCTTAAGCAAACTGGCCATTCTGACTACTGATATTTCCTGTGTTTGAAACCCTGTCTCAATGTTTATGGGTCTTGTAAAATGGGTTACGGTAGCACCACTTGAGGAAAAAGCAAGGTTGGGGATCTCTGGGTGCCTGTGTGCCTGTGTATCATCAGCTTCATCGACTGAGTCAGAGCTCAAGGACTGAACTTGCATGTAATTGCCTTCATTTATTTTCAAATCACTGCTAAAGAGACTCTTAATGCTTTTCGGACTAGTCTCCTGTTTTAACGATACATTCATTATTTCACTTGGACTATTTGTAGAAGTAAATGTATCAACCAAAGACTTATTTTCCAAAATCTTTCTAGGACTATATGGGGGCTCACTGGTCTCCAAGGCAAGGTGATTTAAGCCTGAATTTCTGTTTTCTATACTGATCGGCTGCAATGGATTTCCTGACGTTACCAATTTTTCTAGAGAAGTCTTGAAGTCAGCTCTGTAACTGCCAGTTGAGGCAGGCTGGTTTAATTCTTTATTGCAGCATGGCACCTTTTCTGAGAAAGAGAAATCCTCACGATGTTCACTTGGGACAATTTCCTTAGTTACTTTGCCCAGAAGGGTTGAATGCTTATCTTTTCTTCCTGGATGATTATTTAATAGTAGAGGCATTTCAGCAGGAAGTTGTGTTTGTGGTACCTGAGTTAGGTTATTTTGTCCCATTGGATGGATAGGACCAAAAGAATTTTCCTTTTCTGTTATGGCCAAATCTACTGACTCAATGTGGGAGAATTTGCCACTTTTCCCACTCTGTGCATCGGGATGTTTTAAACTACATGGAGACACATCCCGAGATGGTTGTGTTTCTTCAACTGGTATCTGGGGGTCAGGACTAGAAGCTGGTGACACTTCTTCAATTAAAGAACCAAAGGGAAAGTCTGAAGTAACATTAACTTCCTCTGTAAGCTCAAGGGCAGAAGTATATTTAGCAGAATTCACTTCTCTGTTTTCTATGAAAGTCACTTCTTGTGGCTCAATTATGTCTTCATCTATATCCTGGAGTTCTAAATTTGGTAATGGGGCCCCCTGATGTTGCTCTGTTTCACCAGCTGGCATTTCTTCTCTGGGACTTGTAGGTGGTGATATTGTGAGAGTTAGGTCAATGTCAGAATCTTCCTCTAACTCTAGGCTTACCTCCTCTCCATTTATAGATAGGCTGGTTTGTTTAGCAAATGCGGACTTAAATGATTCAAAATTCCTATGTTCACTGTTTAGACCACTCTTGTCACTCTTTAATTCTAAAGAGCCATTTGATGTATTACTTCTTGATGGAATGCAGCTAAGTGAGTAATTTTTTTCCAACATGGCAGAGGCTGATGGTGAGGCTTCTTCAATCTGTGATGGCTCCAAAATCTCTTCTGAAGATATGCTTAAGAGACTCTTAGGTTGCAGAAAAAGTTCTTGAGAGAGTTTCATTTCTTCTCTGGGTAATGAAGAATTGCAACTTTTAACTAATGGTAATGCCTCCTTTTCCAATGAATTATCAGTTGGCAATGATGAGCCTGGAACAGGAATCTCTTTCTGTAATGAACACATTTCATTATTAGCTAGTGTCTCTCCACTTACTGAGGAGGCACAAAGGTACTTAGTGCCTTTTTCTCCTGACGTTGCTAGAGATAGAATGTCCTTAAGACCTTGTGTTTGTACCTTTTCAAATGTGGATATAGGAAGTCTAAAACTTCTAGCAGGTGATACTTGTTTAAGCAACTCCATATTAAAGGTTGTAGGTTTATCAGCTCTATTTGCAATTTCTGCCTGTATTGGTATACATGCATTTTTTTCAAAAGTAAGAGTAACTGGTTCCAGATTAATCATTACATACCCCATATCATCTTTCTTTTCCTGTGAAGGCTGACATTCTTTGTTTTGGGGGCTGCTATGCTCGATAAGGGTCTGTAAACCACTTGTTTTTGCTTGCACTGTTGCATGGAAATTATCGACTTTGCTTTCAAGGGTGCTATACACAGATTTTTGACAAATCACTGACTGACTGCTGATCCCATCACAAGTCTTGGTGAATGTGGTTTGTGTGACTGTATCAAAAGAAGTCACTCTTGTGCTATCAAGTGGCTCAAAGGTTTTATCTTCACCAGGAATAGAAGGTCCATTAATTTGGATACTTCCAGTGTTAGAAAGCACAAGATTAGAAGTCTCTGTTTTATCCGATGACTCTTGTTTGGATTTCCCCTCAATGATCTGAAATGACAAAAGTAAAAAAACTAACTCAAGAGTAAAGCAGATTATTTTAAACATTTATATGTGAAGAACAGAATAGAAAAGGATTAATTTGAGTTTGTCCATTCTTTTGAATTTTCTAATCTGTAAGAATAAGACAGGGTAAAGATCAAACAAATCCATCTCTTTTTAGACAGGCTTAAAATACCCCACAAATAGGAATTTGTTTTCTTTAAACATAAAACACACAGATGAGATCTCCAAAACTTATTTCACAGCCCATTTTTTAAAAAGGACTTCTAGGAAGAAAAGTGGCTAGCCCACTGACAATTTAAAGACTTGAAAATCTCTTATTCCTCAGCTATCTTCTTTGCTTATAACTGGAGATTAATAACTCCTATTCAACAGAGCACAATAAAACATAGTACAGTTTGAATAAAGTGAACCAAAGGGACTGATGGTGAATGTGGATCTGGGTTAAACATTAGGAGAAATTACTTCTGGATAATTTTGATAACCTCATAAACAGGTGTTTTTTTTAAGGCTGAAACATAGTCTTGTCCAGAATATAGTAAAATGGACTGATCATACAATTAACCATATATATTAACCATATAGTAACGTTTGGAACATTATGATCACAGACTTCCTGCCATGTCTTGTGACAATCATGTTAAAAGTCAGGACCTGGGTTTCAAACCTCATTAAAAACATCTGCCTTAACAGAAAACACTGAGCTGAGGAACTGGCAGCGTGGGAACTGAGACTCAGAGTTTTAAGAGAACATTACTGGCCAGGCACAAAACACAGGAAAGTCTTAATGGTAGGAGTTATTCTGAGAATTTTCCCACCCAGTCATACTGTGGCTGTTAATCTTTGACCACAGTCCCAAACCTTACCATGCCTGTGGTCTTAGGGAAATGCATTTGTGATAATCTTGATATGTTTAGACTAATATATATATATATATATATATATATATATATATATATATATATATATATGACTACAGGTGAAGTGTAATGTTTCTAAAGCAAAGTGTGATCATTTAAAAGAACTGCAAAATTAAACACACAACTAAAAGCAACATGGCTATTGGTTTCTAATGCCCACTGTGCTGGAATTCTTTTGTGTCCTAGTTTGCCCACTTGTAGAACAAAGGAATGGTATAGCATTTGTGTGTGCATCTTTAAAGTAAAGGCACAGTATCCAGGAAGATGATGGAAAATTTTTAAATACATGCTATAGAATTTTTAGAAATCATTAATTTTAATACCATTACTTCCTTCTTAATACTCTATTTTACATTTGCAAAGATCATTTCTAAAATTAATACTGATGATAGTTAATTACATATTACCACAACAAAAAATACTTTATAAGTAGTACATATATATCGGCCTGACTAAACTATAAATATTTTCTTATTCTAAGGCAGTAATTCTTAACTGGATTTTATGTATCTTTGAGAATCATATGAAATTTATGAACCCCATCAGAAAAATCATATACACACAGGAAACTCATGTAAGTATACACATGAACACACACATATGCACACAGAATTTAACATTAAGAAACATCTAGACCAGTGGTTCTCATCCTTCCTAATGCCGCAACCCTTTAATACAGTTCCTCATGTTGTGGTGATCCCCAATTTCATTATTACAAATTGAACATAATTAAAGCATAGTGATTACTCACAAAAATAATATGTAATTATATATGTGTTTTTCCGATGGTCTTAGGCGACCCCTGTGAAAGGGTCGTTCGACCCCCAAAGGGGTCGCGACCCACAGGTTGAGAACCGCTGATCTAGACGGTATAAATTTGAATCCTGGCTTGACAATTTGCTAACTATATGACTTCAGGCAATTTCCATACTCCTCTATGCCTTAGTTTTCTTATCTATAAGACAGAAAGGAATGGTCCTTACTCATTGGGTTTTGTGATAATTAGCTGAGTTAATGTGAGCCAAGGAAGGGCTCAAACCATTATCTGGTCCATAGCATTACGTACATCAGTCTTCATTATGATGAAGACGATGAGCGTCAGGAGACATTCACAGACCCTCTGAGGCTCACCCCTGTACCTGCAAATCCCCAAGTAACCCCAGGTATAGAAACACTGCCTACTCATGTGAAGATAGGCATTAAAGGTAACCAAAACCACGCAAAATCATTCTGAAATAAAACTGAGCTGAAAGTTTTAAAAGGCAGGCATTTTGTCAATTCATTTACTTGGAATTTTGATATACAACTTCTTTGCTCCAGTTAAAATTTGGTGATCTGGCCTGTATTTTCTTTATTTATAAATAGTTATCTACAGACCCATGAGAGGCCTGGCATTGCATTTTCTGTGACAGTATTTTTTTCAAATATAATTTTAATATATTCAATTTTAATTTAATGTTTATCAAAGATTTCTAATATTTACTATTACCACATCTGATCCTTAAACACTACTCTGGGTAAAAGACATAATGAATATTATTCGCCTCTTTTTATAAGAAAAATAAGCTCAGAGAGCAGGTAATTTGTCCCAAATTATACAACAAACAAGTGACATAATTATGGTTGGTTCCCAGATCATCTGAACCCCATTATTTTTTACTTCTGTTTCTTCAATCAGGATGACAGATAAGCTCCACCTGCAAACTATGAGCAATACTCATGAAGACTAAGTTTTGGGCATTATAACGACTTACAAAGCTAGAGAATCTACTTCCCTAAAATAAACGAATTTATTTTGAATGTAATTTTATATATAAAGAAGAAAACTTAAAAAAATGCCAGAATTTGTAGTATTCAGCTTTACTTACCTCATTATTACAAGAATAGATGAAATTCTGCTTTTCTGGAGTATCTGGATGATCCTCTCTTACAAAAACTTCTTTCTGTTCATTCTGTACCCAGAGTTCCAAGCCTCTTGCAGGTGGTTTAATGAAAGGAAGCAAGGAGTTAGTGTCAGGGAAGGACACTTCAGCACTATGACCTCTGGGAGCTTCCTCTGTCTCCAACAAAGGGCCTACAGAACATCTTTCCACACTGGGGGACTCCTCAATTTCACTGAATTGAAAAGATTCTATTGTAGTATTGATAGACACATATTTGGCAGGGTTGCTGTGTTCTACTACTTTTCGGGATGATCGTATGACTCTGTTTTGATTGCTGTAAAACAAAGCCACCCACATATGAAGTAAAAGCTTCACTTCTTCCACATTATCAGGTAAATCAGTGTTCCAGGGCCTGAGATTTTAAAGAAAGAACATACAAAAATCATTGAAAATGGTTACTTTATTATGAACATAAGCAAGTGGCCTTCATTATTAACCTTAATTTTTGAGTTTATTTTTATTTTAAAAATTACACAGACATGCAACAAATAAGTTAAAAAATGAAGTTGATTTAACAAATACTTGCAATGAACCTAATCTACTCGTTTTACTGAGACAGAGAAGAAAACTGAAAATCAAAGCTTTAAGTGACTTCTTTCAAATCACAAAACCCCTAAGTGGTAGAAACATGATAAAAACAGATCTCCCAACAGATTTTTCTTTGATAACATGCAAACTTTCGTGGACACAGTATACCTATTATCTAGATAATGGTTTTAGCAACTGACTTTGCTAAGTCTGGCTTACTTATTTCTACTTTTGTATTTCTCTTCTAATAGTTGGGAAAGTCTAAAAATTAAAATGTATCCATGGGCAATTCAGTGGAACTATACTATTTTCAGATTATAGTTCTGGAAAACCTCCTGAAACCAAAACGGGTGACACAAAACAGTTCTGGCCACTGCCAGGCAAAACGATAGCAGAGAGCTGGATTGGGATGAGTCAGAGGGTCTACCAAGCTAGGCTTCAGTTAAATAGGATTAAGGCTCAGAAAACGACCTCATAAATACATGGGAACATACCAGTAAATGTATACTCTTATGAGTTTGAGCTCCTAACTCCAGTCAAGGAAACAAATCTGACACAATTTAGTCACTCACATATGAAATATTCCACTAATAGGTAGCTCAATACCATTTCATACAGCTAATGCTTCCTGCTCTTAGTCTATTCATTAGCATGTGCCAGTCACCATGCAAAACCCAAATGCATGTAACAACTGTTGGTATCGCCTGGAAATCTGATAGGCCTGTAGATTCTCAGGTCCCATCCCAAATAGACTGAGTTAAAATCTGTAGTTCAGCGAGATCCCTATATGAGTTGTGTACACAAAAAAGATTGAGAAGCACTGTCCTGAAGCACAGGAACTTCTGGGTCACAGAAGCTAGTAAGTGGGAGAGCTCAAATGAAACACCACATTAGTCCACACTCCAAAGCCCACACTTTCTGCCACTCTATTACTGCCTTGACCACTTTTTGAGGAAAATTACAGAACAACCCCATGAAAAATTGCTTACTCATAGCAATCTGATCAGCTTTACAAGCTAGAAGTAATTCTTTGAATGTTTCTTCTGGAATTCACTCTGTAAAGCATTACTTCTATATCTCACTATTTTACATTATGACCTCATTTAAATATTATAATTCAAAGACTGCAAAGGCTTATAAAGGAGCACCTCAAAATGGCAAGCTATTCATGAGGCTAAAGTTACCTTGCAAAAGTTCTCCATGTGATCACGGATGGTGGCAGAACCAGCCTTATATTCTTTGGTGTCAGTAAACACAACTGCTTGATATTATTATTGAATCACTGGATTTACGTAAAATACTGCTTTCTCCTTTCCCACAGTTTGGCACAAGTATCTCTGCTCATTATACTTATTTCAATAGGAAATTTACCTCCATTTCATCAAGTGTTACTCCTACTTACCCATGTAATGCTCTTAGTACAGTTTTCTCCAGTGGGTTGTTGGTATATTTGCTGTCTAAGCTGAATACATAGTTTGTTTCACATTTGAAAGTGACCTTGAAGGAGCCGTCACAGCTGAACACAGTACGAGAGCAGTAAAAGTCTCTCAGGCTGGAAGACAGCAATCTGCTCCTGCGCTTGAGTACTGGGTCCTCAGGAAGCTTTTGAATAGGGGAGGTGCTCAGCTGATGCCGAAATGGCATTACTTTTCCCACTGGGGTTCCTGCTTCAGGGCCTTTTGTGCCATTCTTGGTGAAGGCAGGGCCTGGTAACCCTCTCTGCTGTAGCACCTTCTTTGAATGTTCTGCAAGGAGCAGGGCATAGGAATGTTCCACAGCAACAGAACTTTGGCTTGCATCTGAAGTTTCCATTGTTTCCTCAGGAAGTGCCGACTGGGCTTCAATAGGGGTCTGTCTGTCAGGAACCAAGCTCTCTTCCTCTTGGCTGACAGTGGAGTCTGATGTCAGATTACTCTTCTTATCAGAGGAGGGCTTAGGTAACACTCCCCTTTTTTTACTTTTAACTCCTCTATGATATTCATGGTCAGATGTATTGCTCAGAGAATGTTCTTTAGAAAGCAAAACATTGCTCTGTGGCAATTCAGAAGAGCAAGGAAGATTTCTGGGCTCAGATGGTGGTGTGGTAGAGGTAGCAGCACTTAATGCGAGATCAGCTAACAGGTTTAGGGCCTGGGAGTCACAGTTGACAATGGAATTCTCAGCTGGAGCTTTCTGAGCCACTGTGATATTTTCTGGTTGAGCTGTATTTATACCAATAACATCTTCTTGCCCACATAATGAAATTTTTGATTGAAGCTGAGAAGCAGTTTCTCCTTTGGCTTCAATATAAAAGAAGAAAAAAACCATAGCATTTGATTTCATAAAATTAATTCCTTGCCATATTATTGGTTAAGTCAATATATTCAAGAAAAACATTGATATGCTGCATAAACTTTATATTAAAATGTTACCATCAGACTGAGGTCTCTTTCTAGTCTCATATCTATTATAATGTAATTACCGGAGGAAGAAGGAAGTCCTAAGGAATGTGCATATTAACAAGAAATCACCCTTCAAAAATGCATGTACTGAACCACACACAAGGTACCCTGCTCAGCTAAGGGAATATACGAACAGCAGAAAACAAGAGTCTTGCCCTCAGAGAGCTCACCATCTAGTGCAAACATAAGAACTTCAAAGTTTGAGTTGTATATTATAGTATGATAACATATTTCCTTAAATTATTTCCTTTAATAAGTGATTAGAGAAACCACCTAAGTTCAAAATAGAGATGATTTTAACCATGTTGATATTTAATTATAATATGCAATGATATGAATAAAAAAGTTTAAAGTCATGAGTATTCAGAATAGCTAATTGATTTCATTACCTTTTAAAACTTTAATTTCTACACAAACATTTCCTCTCTACTCTATCTGCAAAGTAGCAAATCTCCTTATCTATTGATAATTCTTCTCTCTGCAGATAATCAAATCTACCTACTCACTTGTCTTTAATCAGAAAACTGACATTCTTAAGTGGTTTACTTGTATTGTCAGGACATAAATTCGGCTTTCTTAAATGCGGTTATCATGAAGGACAAAAGTTCATAACAGGTGTTTTGGAAACATGAAATTCACTTTATGATCTAATGTGTTTATTGATACTAATTTCACTTTATCTTTGTTAACAGTATGGCTCTTATCACCTATGAATAAGGTGAACACAAAGTATATTGTGTTGAGTTCAAAAGGGTTTGTGTTAATAAATAAGCATAAGCATTTAATTACTGAGTTGCTAGAGGTTCTCAATCATTGGAAATATGATCTAATAATCTATTTTAAGAAATACAAGTAAGAGAATGCCAAAGACTATATTGAAAACTTTAGAAAGAACAGAAAACCATTAGTTTCAGTAACAAAAAGATTGAGCCTTCTTAAACTCATATTTCAAGTATGAAAAATGAAACAGATTAGTATAGACAATTAAGAAATAAAAGAAAATCAAGAGATTATTTAAGAGGTGGTAATCTTAAAATTTTAACTTGGAATGTGGCTGCACAATATATACAGACATTTGCAATACAAATCAGCCTATTTTTGAATACACATTTTCAAAACTTTTCATTTTCTGGACTCACTTTTCTGTCAATACTCAATTGCATACCTTCTTCCCATTAATCAATTAGTCTATAACTACCTGAGAGCCAAAACTCAAATGTCATGGCTAAGAACATAGGTATTATATAGGTATCTATACTCATTTATAAACTAATTGTAAAGACAGGATCAAACCACACCAAATGATTGAAAAGCAGGATAAATTTAATTCCATAATGTTCTCAAAAACCCAAAAGAAAATGAGAGAAAAGCGAGAGATCAGAAGATCAGAGCAGGAGGAAACCTGGACTGGTGGAGGGGAAGGGCACAGGAGTGAAAAGAGAAGAGGTATGATGTCTGTGGGGAGGCACTGGCAGGAAAGGGACAAGTTAGGAAAGAGCAGGAGATAAATATGGACCTGAGAAGTAAGAAAGAACACATTAACTGTCTTGAGAGACAAGCAGAGTTTTTTGTATGGATGCCAAAATTATAAATACTGCAGGGCCCTAGCCAGTCTGGCTTAGTGGACAGAGAGTTGGCTTGTGGACTGAAGGGTCCTGGGTTCCATTCCAATCAAGGTCACATGCCCTGTTTGTGGGCTTGATCCCTAGTAGGGGGCATGCAGGTAGCAGCCGATCAATGATTCTCATTATTGATGTTCTATCTCTCTCTCCTTCTCCTGCTCTGAAATTTAAAAAGAAAAAGTGGGGTTTACAATATGGTGAGCTTTAAAAAAATATTTAGTCATCAAACAATATTTTAAAAAAATTTAGAAAAGAAAAAACAAAGTCAACCCATAATACCATTACCCCAACAAAACCATAGTTTCTTTCTTTAAAATCTCACCAAATTAGATTTTTTTAAAAGCTAAAAAAACATTAAGAGAGAAAGGAGATCAGGGAAATTAGATAGAAAATTGATAGAAATATAAAGGTATGAGAAAATAAAGTCTTTGTTAAAACAAATTTAAAAAGAAACAATAGGACTCAATATTGGAAGATAAAGTAAAATTTATAGATTTTGCAGATTGGAAGAACTGCACTATACACAGAAAGAGGAAAAGTTAAGAAGGGACATGGACCTGGGAGAAGAGCTGGTATGTGTTCAGTTTCAGAGATAAAGTCTGCAGAGAAAATGGAACTTTCAAGTAAGGAGGGTATGCCTAGCATTCAAATCACAGAACTAAAGCAGTCAGCTGACTGTACATATAACTAAGCTTCAGTATCCACTTAGCAAAATTAGGAAAGTAAAACTTCCTTTAAAATAAATTTAATGCCTTTTAAAACCAAATATAGGATTCTGGATTACTATTTTGAACACTCTCTTTACAACTCCCCTGGGACAAATAAAGTTGCAATTTACTTTTTATAACCAATTATAGTCCAGAAAAATAGTGCTAGATCAGGGGTCCTCAAACTTTTTAAACAGGGGGCCAGTTCACTGTCCCTCAGACCGTTGGAGGGCCGGACTATAGTTTAAAAAAAAACTATGAACAAATTCCTATGCACACTGCACATATCTTATTTTGAAGTAAAAAAACAAAACGGGAACAAATACAATATTTGTATTTGCATGTGGCCCGCAGGCCGTAGTTTGAGGACCCCTGTGCTAGATACTACTTGCTTGTGCATTTAGTCATAAAAAAAGGCAAGTTATAGTTTATGTTTAGGATTTATGCAAACTAGTAAGTAGGTTTATTTTGTGATACTTGAATCTTTTGTAATTTCCTTATTTACAATGGGAAATCAAGTTACTTGGTCCTATTAATGTTTGAATTAAAGAATATAGGAAGAATTATTGATAGGTTTTTTAACTGTTCTTATATTATTTCCACACACTATATTGTAACCTTGATTATTCAGCATGTGGTGTTAAATTTACAGGAAGAGTATTTCTTACCAGGTTGTGGCTGCTTTCTGATTCTGGGATTCTGATTGCCTTTTACTATATTTACCCTCTGTTTTTGTGGAGATTTCTTCACAGGTGGTTTAGCTCTCGGAACAGTTTTGACTGGAGATTTCTCTTGTTTCCTTGCCCTTTTAGGAGTCGTTGCAACTGGAACATCTTTAGAAATAAGAGCTTCTTGGTTTTTCGTATCCAATTTGGTTGTCTGTACAAACTGTGCAGTCAGCACCTCAGCACCTTATATAAAAAAGACACCATTTTTTTAAGGGTAAGGGGGCTCAAATATTTATCAGCGTCGCTTTTTCTTTTATTTGTGTTTTTACTTTAGGGCATAACTATAGTAATAGGAAATAAAATTTTGGGTATTTCATTAAAATATACATATTTTAATAAAGCAAGAGTTAAAAGTTCTCATATACATATAAAAATATGAACTTGCTAATGTTGGTCTATATCCCTACTAGGTGGGGAAGAAAAATATTAGGGTAATAATTTTATAAAAACAAGGTATGACTTCAATTTTTCTAAAAATCTCCATGATCTTTCGTAAAGTAAGCCTGGATATACTAGTTCATAGCACTGGGAGATAGATAATTCATTGTATACAAAAGCAACACAGCCCCTAAGTGGTGATATGGTGAAAACTATAACCACACCACATAAAAGAGATTGTATATTCATAAAGTGCCATCTTACATATTTTACTTTACTACTCGTAAATATCTAAGTCTTAATACTACCTCTAAAAATCATTTTTTAAAGACAAGACAGAAAAAAGCACACTGGACAAAGTGTTCACCTGATTTAATTTCCTACAAATCTATTTTAACTGCTCACCTCTTTTATAAAATGCTCAGCTTTGCTTCTCACATGGAAGGAAGGAAATAGCTAAAGACAGAGGCACAAGAGGAAAACAAAACTAGCGACTATCTGCTTATATAACACAAAAATAGTGTTTCAATTTTTTTTTAAATATATTTTATTGATTTTTTTTAAATTAAATCTTTATTGTTCAGATTATTACATTTGTTCCTCTTTTTTCCCCCCCATAACTCCCCTCCTCCCAGTTCCCGCCCCACCCTCCGCCCTCACTCCCCACCCACTGTCCTCATCCATAGGTGCACGATTTTTGTCCAGTCTCTTCCCGCATCTCCCACACCCCTTTCCCCCCCAAGAATAGTCAGTCCATTCCCTTTCTATGTCCCTGATTCTATTATAATCACCAGTTCATTCTGTTCATCAGATTATTTATTCACTTAATTCTTAGATTCACTTGTTGATAGATGCATATTTGTTGTTCATATTTTGTATCTTTACCTTTTTCTTCCTCTTCCTCTTCTTAAAGGATACCTTTCAGCATTTCATATAATCCTGGTTTGGTGGTGATGAACTCCTTTAGTTTTTCCTTATCTGTGAAGCTCTTTATCTGACCTTCAATTCTGAATGATAGCTTTGCTGGATAAAGTAATCTTGGTTGTAGGTTCTTGGTATTCATCACTTTGACTATTTCTTGCCACTCCCTTCTGGCCTGCAAAGTTTCTGTTGAGAAATCAGCTGACAGTCGTATGGGTATTCCCTTGTAGGTAACTGAGTTTCTTTCTCTTGCTGTTTTTAAGAGTCTCTCTTTATCTTTTGCTCTTCGCATTTTAATTATGATGTGTCTTGGTGTGGTCCTCTTTGGATTCCTTTTGTTTGGGGTTCTCCGCGCTTCTTGGACCTGTAAGTCTATTTCTTTCACCAGGTGGGGGAAGTTTTCTGTCATTATTTCTTCAAATAGGTTTTCAATATCTTGCTCTCTCTCATCTTCTGGCACCCCTATAATTCTGATGTTGGTACGCTTGAAGCTGTCCCAGAGGCTCCTTACACTATCCTCGCATTTTTGGATTCTTTTTTCATTTTGCTTTTCCGGTTGGGTGTTTTTTGCTTCCTCGCATTTCAAATCATTGACTTGATTCTTGCGCTCCTCTGGTCTGCTGTCGGGAGTCTGTATAATATTCTTTATTTCAGTCAGTGTATGCTTAATTTCTAGTTGGTTCCCCAATATAAGATCGAGGGTCTCATTAGTTTTCTTGTAGATCTCATTTAAGTTTATCGGCGGCTTCTAAACAGTTCTTGAGAGACCTTAAAAGTGTGGTTCTGAACTCTGTATCTTCCATTGACAATTTTGTCCTGTTTCTTTGTCTCCGAATTTTGTTATGCTTCCTTGGTGCACCCCCTCGTGGTCTTTGTTCGCAGTCTTATAGTTAAATCTTGATTGTTGTAGCTAATACCAGGGAGGGTTTGACCTCCAGGCCAAGTGGCTATGAGAATCAGCTGTGTCAGCAGTGAGAGAACTTCTGTCCTCTAGGGAGGTGCTAATCTAGCCTTTGCCTGAGGCTATCCGGCAAATGCCTCTGTGCAGGGCTTGGGCGGGGCGGGTTGCACAGGATCAACAGGGTGGGCTGGAGAGAGCAGTTATGGCGGCTCTCAGTCCCGTCCCCAGGGGCTCTGCCTCTCTGAGTCCCAGCACCCGCTGCAAAGCTCGGAGAGAAAGCTGCACTCGCTCTGACCGAAGCCAGACAGTCCCACTTCTCCCGTTTGAGTCAGGGTCCCTAGAGACTCGCCCGTATCTGGAGCTCAGAGTCTGCGACTCCCTCCCGATTGAAAACGCCAACCGCGCCCTCCGCCGCCAGCCCGCTCCGCGCACTCCGCACCTCAGAATTTGACTTCAGCACTGCGCCTCCTCTGAGTGTCCGTATGCGTTTCTCTTTCCTCCTAGTTGTAGGACTTCCACTCAGCCAGCGTTCCTGTGGTTCTGGGTGATGTCCCTTCCGTCTTTTAGTTTCACTTTTGAAGTAGTTGTTCAAGGCAGCAAACTCCGGTGTTAACCTATGCCGCCATCTTGGTTCTCTCAATTTTTTAAGTTAAAAAAATATAAGTGCTCCCTTTGAGCACTTATTAGTATGTTTTACCCATTTGCTTTATATAATTTCAGTTGTTTCGCAGCAAAAAAAAAATTTAGCCCCAAAGGCATCATCCTATATAATAAATAGGTAATATGCAAATTGACCACCACACCCTAGCACAAATGGCCACCCCCACGTGGCCATAAGATGGCTGCCCCCATGTGGTCACAAGATGGTCGGCAGGGGAGGACAGTTGGTGGTGGGGGGGGGCGGGACCAGGCCTGCAGGGGAAGGCAGTTAGGAGCGACCAGGCCTGCAGGGGAGGGCAATGGGGGGCGACCAGGTTGGCAGGGGAGGGCAGTTGGGAGGGGGGGGGGACCAGGCCTGCAGGGGAGGGCAGGTAGTGGCAACAGGACTGGCAGGAGCACTTAGGCATTGATCAGGCTGGTAGGGGAGTGGTTAGGGGGTGATCAGGTTGGCAGGCAGAAGTGGGCAGGGACAATCAGGCAGGTGAGCAGTTAGGAGCCAGCAGTCCTGGATTGAAAGGGGTCTCAGATTGGAGGGTGCAGGCTGGGCTGAGGGACACCCCCCCCGCTCCCTCCCCCCCAGTGCACGAATTTCATGCACCGGGCCTCTAGTATAAAATAATCACACATAAATATTGGCAAAATTTTAAAATTACATTATACAGAAAACAATATTTCTAATTGAGAACAGAAAACATAATACTAACAGTTTAAGAAATTGGGATGACTGCTGATGAAATGTAGAGAAGATACCAATTTATTTCTTGGGGGTTTTGGGAAAGCTTTAGAATCTCTTAATATTGTACATGTCTTCGGGTCCAATTATTTTCCTCCCTAGTAAACTATTACACATAATAAAGCAGCATATATATATATTTTTAAGGAATAAGGCCTAGCATTCCGTTATACATTTTTAGTATAAAGGAATATAAATACATTAAGAATATAAATCAAGTAGGAAAACAGTTAAGTCTAAATCAAGAAGAGAAAGAAAATAAGGGGAGATGACCAAGACATAGGGGAAAGTTTTAAACAATTGCACAAACAGAAAGGGAAGATCTCTCACAATCCTGAGAGGAAAAACTGAAACATGAACAAGGTATCCTGCAGGGACTTTTCTGTTTATTAGTGTCACTCAATGCCATGTTTCTCAAATTGCATGCAATAATCCATCGATGGATTATAAAATAAAGTTAATGGGTTGCAACCAGAATTCTTTCTTAAATGAAACAAAGTGGAAGAGAAAATACCAGATGGTATTACACATAGGGTAAATGTCTTTTGAAATTTTTGTTTCAGTCATGTGTGAATTTGTGTGTACTGACTACAAAATAAAACATATTTCTTAGAGTGGATGAAATTTAAAACATTTGAGAAACAGAAAACATATATGTTGAATTATGGATAATTTATTTAATATCTTAAAGTAAACTGGTTCATACAGAGCAGAAACAATATGGTTGGCCTGGAATTTATTTGTAAGTAGTTGTTTAGTCTGATTCACTGCTTTCTATTGTCATAATTTCCAACATTCTCCTAAATACACACATATACACCATTTTCTCAAACTGTAACAGGCCAAAAATAACTATTTGTTGAACCACAGTGTAAAATCTTAATCATCTAGAATCCTGGGGCTCTGCATATCCCTGATGTTTCTTCTCTAAGCACCAAAATTTCTAGAATCGAAATACTATCGATAGGGTGGCACACCTTTTTTGTGTGAAGGGCAGATAGTATGTATTTTCAGCTTTGAATGTCACTGTTCTTATTCACAACCACACATCTCTGCCAACGGTATAAAGCTGTGATGTATAAAGCTGTGATGTAGCCAGAGACAACTGCTTGAGGAGTCCGTTGATTACACTTTGCTGACTCCTTCTCTAAGGCGTCATACAGCATATAGTTCCCTACTTTTCAACAAAATACACTACCTATAATCTGAGATGGCTCTAAGGCAAAATTGTGTTGTTTGTTGTGCTATGTTCACTAAAGTGCATTTAACTAGAGACTAAATAGCTCTAGACTCTGATTATTACTCAATTTTCAGGGGGGCAACAAAGCCACTTGTGGAATTGTCTCAATACAGGCCACTGGACATTCTGACTCAACAGATCTATGGCAGGATCCAGGTGACTGTTTTTAAACTCTGACACACACAAAGGATTAGAAATCCTACCCCAGCCTGTTTTAGTTTTGAAGGTTCTAGGTATTTCCCCCACCTCTTTATACATGTATAAGCTACTTGTTATTACTTTTTGCTGGTTTTGGTATGCCTGATTTAAATTTTTAAAATTTATTGGTGAGAGAGAGAGAGAGAGAGATAGCATCGATTTATTGTTCCACTTACTGATACATTCATTGGTTGATCCTTATATGTGCCCTGACCGAGAACTGGACCCCAAATCTTGACCTATTGATGACACTCTAACAATTGAGCTACCCACAGGGTGACGGTATGATTTTAGAAGATCCTCTTCATCTACTTTTATTTGTCTGAGGGTAGATAAGACACTGGATAACGATCTTTCTAGAATGGTACATAAATAACTGACAGCTTGAGCAGTTTTAGAGTGAAATACGGCTTTTGGTGGGTGGGCTTTTGAGGAGACATCTTACAGTTTTTCCTATTTCTTGTTTTTAATCTCTACCTTAAACTTAAGCATGCAGACAAATCACCTGGAGAGAAATGTTGTCATTTCTAACAAACTTCTGATACTGCACAGCTGCAGTCCAGTGATCTGACAGGAACAGTGTTAGAATACAACAGTTATTACTAACTCAATCTCCATAAATTGTGCTTACCTCTTTTTCTTTTCTGAGGAAACTGTCCTTTAACTAATTTGAGAGTTGCTGGAGGGGTTGAAGCCCTATTTGCTCTTGCAGGAGTTCTTTTGGGGAAGGGACAGCACACGTTCACTCTTTTACTCTGCACCACAGGTGGCATGCTGGCCTTCCTCTTTGGCTGAACTCTCAGATTTGATGCTGAATTTAATGGAACTATATTTCTCTTCCTAGCTTTAAACATTTCTTCAGAATTCTTTTTTGTTTCAGTTTCTCTTCTTACTTCTGCTTCTGAGTCAAGAAATTCAGGATCTGGAGTCATAACTAAAGAAAATCCAGCATCACAAATTCCATCTGAAATACAAGGAGACTGTGAATGCTCTGCCAATAAATCTAACGCTGTAGATACTTCCAAAATGTACCCACTAGGATCTGAAAAATAAGTCTTCAACTGAGTTAAAGACTGTACAGGGCACTTTTCAGCTGGAGGAACCAAGTCAAAACCATTGGACATTTTGCCAAAGAATAAAGTCTCTTTTACTCCATCCTGAGAAGAAGTTGTCAATGGATTTCTCTCCATCTTGTACAGTTCTTGAAAATTACGTTTTACTAATGTATTTAGACAGATTCCTTCTTCAGTAAATGAGTTCCTTGCTTCTAGCAGTGCACAATTAAGGGCAGGTAAAATAGGTATCACCTTCAATGAGATGTCATCTTCAACTCTCAAGTCTTTCAGCCCTAAAATATATATATATACATTAAAAACCTAAAATTATTAGTCTTTATTTTACAAAAACATGCAGAAAAAAATGCTTACAAAATTATGGGATGGTTAAATATAACACAGTGCTCCCAGCAGAAATCTAAACGGAAATTAAAAGACTATGGGTACATTTAATGAATACATTTATCTCCATATATATGTAAATCACATGAGAGAGAAGAGTGGGAATAAGAACTGGAAAAGAATCACTCAAATGCAATCACCAGGTTAGAATGAGGAAGGCTGACCTGCCTCGAGACCAGGGGTGGGCAAACTTTTTGACTCGAGGGCCACAATGGGTTCTTAAACTGGACCGGAGGGCCGGAACAAAAGCATGGATGGAGTGTTTGTGTGAACTAATATAAATTCAAAGTAAACATCATTACATAAAAGGGTACGGTCTTTTTTTTTTTTTTTAGTTTTATTCATTTCAAACAGGCCATATCCGGCCGTGGTAGTTTGCCCAGGCTGCTCTAGCTCCATCTTATCTGATGAGGAGCTCAGCATGAGCTCAATGTACCATCAAAGCAACAGCAGTGATATTTAGAGTTGGCAGGTTTGCTCTTCTATTTTTCAATGAACATTTTCTGCTTTTAAGTGTCTTATTTTATCTCTGCCTTATATAATTCACTTCAAAAATTCTTAAATGTATTGATTTTTAGAGAGAAAGAGAGAAACACTGAGTTGTTGTTTCACTTATTTATGCATTCATTGGTTAATTCTTTATGTTTCCTGAGTGGGGATCGAACTCAAAACCTTGGTATACTGGGATGATGTTCCAACCAACTGAGCTACCCAGCCTAGGCTGTTTAAATTCGTTTAAGTTACAATGCTAACCAAGTGAACTGAAAAAAGTAAAACCCTTAAGTAAACCCCAAATTCCATCACTCTATCAAGTAAAATTTTTTTAAAAATTAAGTAATTAAACCAAGTAGTCTGTGTTTCACTTTCTCTCCTTAGCTAAAGGAGATATTAGAAAAAAGAATAGAAAGATAAATAAAAATAAACAAAACATGTGGGTAGAAATTAAAAATTTCTTTCTTTACAGTTTATTACCTAAAAAGTAACAAGTGAAGAAAACAGGTTTTTATATACCGCTAACAGTTCACACTAAAGTAGTATTCTTCCAGAAAATTTCATTATTTCAAGAATTTAGAAAGACAGAACCCAGAATGATCTGTAATAGACTATTATAAAATCTACGAAAAAGAACATTTTAAATCTGCTAAGCAAAGTATCTATCATTTAAAACAGATAACAATAGCTAGGTCCCTGATAGAAAATGACCATTCATAGAAAATGTCTTAATGAACTAGAGGAGGAGGTATACACTATAACGCAACACTGCAAAATTTATTTAAACAAATCCTGTGCTGTTCAACACTGAATGGTATAGGCACTAATGTTTCCTATTTATTTCATAATAAAATGAAGTCAGAGCTCTGAGAGAAGGAGGAGGCAGTATGGGATAAGAGTTGGAAGCCAGGTAGAGAGTTAGTTGTTTGACCGTGGGCAAGCTTAAGTCTCAGTTTGCTCATCTTTGAAATAATAATATCTATTTTAAGGGCCGCTAAGTTAGTAACTGTATACTTAGCATAATACCTGACATAGTAGATGCTTAAAAAATGCAAACAGCATTATGTTATTATAACAGGTAATGTTTTGCTTTAGTACAAAGAAGTGATGCCCAAGACAGTGCATTTCTCTGCTTTGGGTAACTGAATACGTAAAATGTTAAGAAATCAACTTTAGGAGAGAATCAAGATGGCGGCATAGGTAAGCACCTGTACTTCTGCCTCCCACAACCACATCAAAATTACAACTAAAATATAAAACAACTATCATCCAGAACCACAGGAAAGCTGGCTGAGTGGAAGTACTACAACTAGAGAAATAAAGAAGAAAATGTATTGAGACTGGTAGAAGGTGCAGAGGCACAGAACAGGCTGGCACCTGGGTGTGCCGCTTTTTTAATTGGGAGGGAGATATAAGCTCCCACTTGTTCTGGGGGGACCCAGACACATACGGGGAGAAACTAGACTGTCTGGCATCGGGGCAGGAACATGGGGGCAGCTTTCATCCAGACAGAGGTGCTCGCATCGGTCACTGTTCCTGTGCTGGGACCTCCCCGGTGCAGGGATGACTGGCAGCCACTGCTGTTTGCTCTGCCCTGGTGATTCCCTGAGACCCTGCCCCACCCAATTTACAACCTCAACCAAGCTGTGTGCAGTAGCTTTTGCATATGAATGGCCTGTCCTTTCTCAGTCTAAGACCTGTCAAACAACCTACAGCTGGGCCAGGGAGCCCCACAGCTATCAAAAAAAGGCCCAAAGCCCGGCACCAGCACCACCCTGCCTTACTTCATAGATGAGCCTCACCTGGGCCCTCTTTGTATTGGGTTTAACAATACAAAGAGGAGAAATCTGCAGATCTCTCTGTAGCTCCTGCTGGGTGGCTCCAGGCAGTGGCTGACTTTGCATCTCCTTGGTAATCCAAGAGTCAGTGTACCCAGTGGTCAGTGCTAGACTATACCAGATTACAACTCTTCATTTCCATAAATGACACACTCAAGGGGCAGACTCAGTGAGCACTAAAGCCCCACTGAAGCAAGTCCTACCCCATAAGGGTGTCTTCTGTACAGCAGCTCTTCCACTGTAGACATAGCTGGTCCTCATAGCCAATTGACGTGGATGTCAATTCCTCCCAGTAATATCAACAGCAATCAAAGCTCAACTATAAGACTGTGCACACAGCCTACAAAGGGGTGCACCAAGAGTGTCCACCTCAGGTGATTGCGGAGGCTGAGCCACTGGGCCCTATGGACACCTACTACACAAGGCCACTCTATCAACTCAAGGAGACTTAGCAGCTACCCAATACATAGAAACAAACACAGGGAGGCAACCAAAATGTAGAGACAAAGAAACATGTCACAACTGAAAGAAATGGAAGAAAGCAAACTATTGGATATAGAGTTCAAAACCACAGTTATAAGGTTACTCAAGAATTTTCTATAAACCTCTGAGGAACTTAGTGAGACTTTCAAGGATCTTAGGGAGAATGCAAAAAAATGGAAAAGGACCAGTCGGAAATTAATCATACACTGACTGAAATAAAGAAAAATATACAGAGATTCAACAGTAAACTAGAGGATCCCAAGAATCAAGTTAAAGATTTGAAACACGAGGAAGCAAAAAAGACCCAACCGGAAGAGCAAAAAGAAAAAAGAATCCAAAAATATGAAGATAGTGTAAAGAGCCTCTGGGACAACTTCAAGCGCACCAACATCCGAATTATGGGGGTGCCAGAAGAAGAGAGAGAGCAAGATATTGAAAACCTATTTGAAGAAATAATGACATAAAACTTCCCCTACCTGGGGAAAGAAATAGACTTACAAGTCCAGGAAGCGCAGAGAACCCCAAACAAAAGGAATCCAAAGAGGACCACACCAAGACACATCATAATTAAAACGCCAAGGGCAAAAGACAAAGAGAGAATCCTAAAAGCAGCAAGAGAAAGACAGTCAGTTACCTACAAGGGAATACCCATACGACTGTCAGCTGATTTCTCAACAGAAACTTTGCAGGCCAGAAGGGAGTGGCAAGAAATTCAAAGTGAAGAATAGCAAGAACCTACAACCAAGATTACTCTACCCAGCAAACCTATCATTCAGAATTGAAGGTCAGATAAAGAGCTTCACAGATAAGAAAAAGCTAAAGGAGTTCATCACTACCAAACCAGGATGATATGAAATGCTGAAGGGTATTCTTTAAGAAGAGGAAGAAGAAAAAGGTAAAGATAAAAAATTATGAACAATGAAGTGACAACGAATACATGTCTATCAACAAGTGAATCTAAAAATCAAATGAATAAAAAATCTGATGAAAGAATAAACTGGTGAATGTAATAGAATCAGGGGCATGGAAAGAGAGTGGACTGACAATTCTCGGGGGAAAGGGGGTGTGGGAAGAGATTGGACAAAGATCTTACATGCATGTATGCAGTACCTATGGATGCGGACAGTGAGGTGGAGAGGGTCTGGGGTGAGGTGGGAACTGGGTGGAGGGGAGTTATGGGGGGAAAAAAGAGGGACATCTGTAAGAATCTGAACAATAAAGATTAAAAAAAAATCAACTTTAAAAACACTTTTATATTGGTTATAGCTTTATACGTGCTATACAAATTTTATGTTTAAACACATAGAATGTGATTATAAAATAAGAAGGAAAATTTCCTCATATGACAAAAACAAATGACTCATTTACTTTATTGTTCAGCAAACAGTATTTTTTATGTGCCTGGCACTGCTAGGCCACAGGCATACAGTAGAATACAGGAAAGGCAGGCATTAAGTCATATACAAACAAATATTTAAATTCAATTGATAAGCCTGAGGTTCTCATTGAGGTGAGAATGATGATGGGAATCAACAGTGATATTTAAACTGACACCTGACAGACCTGAGTAACAGACTGGACTAGATCAGAGCTTTACCTGATTTTATTCATTATCCCCCAAATTTTAATACTACAGATAAACAATATATCTGTTTATATATTGTCTGAGTAATATCTTTTGCCCTATGGGGGTAAACACCACCCAATAAAAGGGAAGGAGAAAAGTAGTCCAGATAGAGAACTGTAACTGTGCAGACCTTGAGTCCTACTTAGTTGGTAGACTACTATAAAAATCACCTCTTCGCTACTGCAGTTTTTTAAAATATACATATTTTTATTGATTTCAGAGAGAAAGGGAGAGGGAGAGAGAGAGATATAGAAACATCAATGATGAGAATCACTGATTGGCTGCCTCCTGCACACCCCACACTGGGATCGAGTGCAACCCTGGCATGTGCCCTGGATTGGAATCGAACTGTGACCTGGTTCACAGGCCGATGCTCAACCACTGAGCCATACAGGCCAAGTTGCAGGTTTTTAAGATGATTTTTAAATTAAATTTCAATTATAGTTGACATTTATATACCTTGCAAAGCAATCACCATTAAGTTTACTATATTTCACCATATAGTTATTACAGTATTTTTCTCCTATTATTGTTCAATACCAAATATTCAGTTTTGAGTAATGCTGAATTTGATGAACATGTGAGACATCTTAAGTGAAAAAGTCAATAAACAGGTGGATATGTGGGTGTGAAGCTTAGAGGGAAGGCTAAACCTGAAAAGGGGATAAAGAAGAACCAACCAGGGAGATTAAAGAAAGAGTTATTGAAAGAGATAAACTACATTAGTTACCAGGGTTGAGAGGTTAAGCATGATGAGGATGGAAAAATATGTGACAGATTTAGTAAACTAGAAGTCACTGCGCCCTTACCTGCTGACAGGGATGAATGGAATAAATGTAATCCATGTAGAGCCATCTGCTCATCTCCAAAATCTATATAGGATGAAAATCAGAAGGAAAGTTAGGTTGCTGACCTTATAAAATAAAAGTAAACATTCAAAAAAACAGTATTTTAAAAAAGTTGTCCTTACTTGTTTCTGAAATTAAGGCTGATGATGTAAGTAAAATGAAAACCTCCCGATTTTCCAAGCATTTGATGAGTGCCTTAAACATTAAAAAAAAAAAAAAGATTAAATTCCTCCCCTCAATCTACCGCACTACTAATTCAGTAAATTTTGAGCTCATGAAAAATAAATAAACAAATATGCAAAAAATTTGAAATGTTAGTGTTTATGACAGTGGTTCTCAACCTTCCTAATGTCATGATCCTTTAATACAGTTCCTCGTGTTGTGGTGACCCCCAAATTCATTGTTACAAATTGAACATAATTAAAGCATAGTGATTAATCACAAAAACAATATGTAATTACATATGTGTTTTCCGATGGTCTTAGGCGACCCCTGTGAAAGGGTCGTTCGACCCCCAAAGGGGTCGCAACCCACAGGTTGAGAACTGCTGGTTTATGAGAATCAGGACAATTTTGCCTTTAGTATCAGAAACTGCAAGTTCCTTAACACTCAATTAATCTTGGCCCTGTTAGGACTACATATAGTCACTAGAACATTAAGGGTTAATTTTAGGATAGTTTTCAACTACATAATAAACCTATCAAAAAAGAGTAATTTCATTTTTTTATTGAGTTGCTTGATATTTCATACTGCTGCCTAAATAATCAATCTGTTACCATTTAGCTACTACAAATGTAAGGTAAATCAGGCCTATGATTAGCATCTTAAGCTCATGTTTATATATAACATGTCATAGAACCCCAGAACTAGGAAGACTGGAAGATTCTATGTAATAAAAGAATCCTTTCTACAGCATCTGAGAGATAAAAAATAATAGAAAATAACATAATTAGCTTATGCGGCAATGAAAACATGCAGATGAAAATAATTTTTTCTCTTTTGTTCCCTCCACCACAGTCTTCAGTGGAATCTTGATCTAAAACAAAACAAAAAACAACTCCCAAACAAACAACCTTTAAAATTTTAATGTTTACAGTAAATTGGGGAAATTCTGTCCCCACGTCAGGGCAAGTTATCTAAAAGCTATCATTCTAAATTATAAAAATAACAGTTTCTCTTTTTCATTATGCATCATTTCTAAAGCCAATGCTTATGCAATTTTTTAAGTTAAAAAAAAACCCAACACACCAAACTAAAAATACATTGTTTTATAAAATAAAACATTCTATTGAAAAAACTGATAGGTTAGAAGCCTAAAAATATGGCGAATTGATAAATTAATCAATAAACACTTCAAGTATGAAAAAAGACTTATTTTCTAATTATATTAGAACTAAGTTATGACACTGACAATTCACTATTGCAAGTTTCTATAATCTTCTATTACTGCCCTTATGCATTTGATAGTTGACATTTCTGTCTTTTCACACACAGTCTTTTTAAGTTCCTTGATGGTAGGGACTATTTTCTCTTTTTGCTTCTGGCACCTAGTAAGCACTCAAGAATTACCGAATACATATACGAATAACTACATATACCCACAGCTTTGATATCTATTAAGTTGCAAAGAGGTAGAACTCTTGTTTCATTTTCGATTGATGTAGCAAGTGAAAGTGACAAATTAGCCTCTATATTGTTCTGCATGTTAGTTTTGTAAAATATATGAAAAATAAAATCCCTATTTACTTAAAACCATACATTTCTATCTTCCAAAAATATGTGCAAATAGAATAAAAATATGCAGTATATGAAGCAAGAAAAGCATGGAGTACTGAGGAAAAAGAACTTAAAGTGATATGTAATTCCTATAACTAATTATTATTACTAAACGGGTTTCAATTAAAGCCAAGTTCTGCACCAATATGGGTTTCAATACTACAGCAGGTCCTCGGGTTACATTGGCTATCCGGTCCTACAGTGTGACATAAAGTCAGAACCCACCTACATAAGCACCTACGTCACTCACATGGAGCACATACACAGCAGTAATGAAGTGATACAGTAAAAATATTTAAAAGAAAGATAACAATTCCTGACCTTAACTTGTGGTAAGTAAATAATAAAAAATATAGAGCACATATGTACATATATAGAAATGACAGACCTTTTTTTTTTAAATAAATGGGAGATGGCAAAATAACCATGAAATGACGTATGTCGAGTCCAACGTAACCCGTAACCCAAGGACTGTCTGTTTAAGTCAGGGGTGGGGAACATCTGGCCCGAGGACCATATAAGGTCCAAGAAATCATTTGGGCTGGCCCTCCCAAGGCATTAGGGGTGAGTTAATTAAATGTCTGACCAAATATAGCAAGCTAATTTTTAAGTTGATAAATTCTGTATGGCCCTCGAATGATGTTATATCCAAAAGGCCCTTGGCAGAAAAAAGGTTCCCCACCCCTGCTATAAGCACTCACAAGTAGTCCCTTCATGAATGCATTTTTTGAAAGTATCTTCGGACTTTATTCCTTTTAATTTCCAAATATAAAATGGACTATGGTACTTTAAAAACTATAGCCTACAATCCTATAGTAGTTAGTTATCCATTCAGCATCCAATGTCGCCGATTCTAACATTTTGCTGTGGAGTACCACTCTCTGTAGATTGGGTGGAACTAACCTCATACCCAGTTCTGGTAAGTGAGTTCTGAATGGTCTGAGCTAATTAGTGTAGGCCATTCCCTCTGCACTTACTGATTGAGAGATGTGCAGAGATTTCTCTCTCCCCCTTCCTCTCCTTCCCGATCTATCTTCCTCCTCCCCCCTCCTTCTCTCTCTCTTCCTCTCCATTCCCCACTTCCTCCTCTCCTCTCAATCCCCTCCCTCTTAACACCTAGAATTGAAAAGTTAAGCCTATTAAATCCCTTTATTGTTTAATCCAGCTTAGGTTTCTGTTACATGCAACTTCAAGTATGTGAACTGACGCTATCCCTAAGACTTAAGCTTACGTTCAAAGTTGCTATACATGTTCGATTTTAATTTATTAACTTTTTTGCTACCTATTATAGGGTACAGTCTATCATGTCACTAAAGGGCTCAGAATTTGTTTGGTCACTGTCCTACACCTACACCATCTCTTCTGGGATGTTTAGAAATCACTCAAAATAGAATCAGCATTTATTCCTACCCTGACACTGAGGAACTCTGATTAACATAACAGAGAGGTATTTGGTTATTTCTCAGTAGTCTTATTTTCTGTACTATAAAAACAGTAAAAACAGCAACTTTCCCCCCCTTTTTTAAACCTATGGATTGACACAGGTCACTTTTAAAGAACTATTTCACAAGTGGTCCTTTGATTAATTCAAAAACACTGGGATCTACTCAATTCTGTCATAAAACAAAAACAACAAAAGAATGAGAAAAATTGTCCTCTTATTCTTAAAATCAGGAGTATAAACTGACTAGTGAAAGACAAACTAAGATACAAAGAAGATGAAAAGATCAGTCAATAAATATTATATATATCAATAAAAATTAAAGGATAAAAATCCTTTCAGTAAACTAGAATAATTTAATCTAGATGCAGCAACTAATAATTAGATATCAAAATCTCAATTTAAGGAAAAACTAATTATTTTAAATGGACTCTTACCAATTGCTTATTTTTAATGACTTCGGTTAGTTTATCTATTTTGTCCCCTTGTTTGTTTGACAATTCCACTTCATACATATTGAAGTACATATCTTGGCAACAGACTGGACAAAATCAGAAAAACAGAACATTTCTTATTTTAAATGCTATTTAATTTTTTAAAATAACCAATTTATTCATTTTATATAATAAAAAGTCAAAAAACTAAGAATACAATTAAAAAATTATCATTCAATGTCCTTGGTTATAAAACACCTTAAAAAAAGTTATATTGTATAGCCTGGCTGGTGTGGCTCAGTGATGAGCATTGACCTATAAATCAGGAGGTCACAGTTCAATTCCTGGTCAGAGCACATGCCAGGATTGCAGGCTCGATCCCCAAAAGGGGGCGTGCAGAAGGCAGCTGACAGATGATTCTCTCTCATCACTGATGTTTTTATCTTTCCCTCTCCCTTCCTCTCTGAAATCAATAAAAAATTGAAAACAATGCTTTCATTTATACTGACACTACTATAACAAGGTAAATAAATACTATATAAATAACATAAACATCAATGTTCCATGAATCAATCTAAATGACAGAGAAATTTCCTTCTCAGGTTTTCTGCTTTTCTCCCTTCACTTCGACGTACATAACTAAACTCTGGGTGATGAGCTAACAATGCAATCAATATACAGATGATGCATTATAGTACAGCACACTTGAAATTTATATAATCTTATTAATCAACTAGAGGCCTGGTGCACGAAATTTGTGCACTGAAGGGGGGTGGGAGGGGGTGGGAGGAGGTGGTCCCTCAGCCTGGTCTGCACCCTCTCGCAGTCCGGGAACCCTTGGGGGATGTCCAACTGATGGTTTAGGGGGAGCAGGCCTAAGGGGTCAGTTGGACATCCTTAGCGCTGCCATGGAGCAGGAGAGGCTCCCATCACCACCGCTGCGCTCGCCAGCTGTGAGCCCGGCTTCTGGCTGAGCACTATTCCTCCTGTGGGAGTGCACTGACAATTAGGGAGCAGCTCCTGCGTTGAGTGGGATTGTGCCAAAACCGGCTCTCCAACATCCCCAGAGGGGTCCTGGATTGCAAGAGGGCACAGGCCAGGCCGAAGAACCCCACCGGTGCACAATCGGGGCTGGGGAGGGATGTAGGAGGTTGGCCAGCTGGGGAGGGACCGTGGGCGGGCTCTAGGGTGTGTCCAGCCCATCTTGCGCAGTCCCAATCGGCCAGACCCCAGCAGCAAGCTCACCTACCAGTTGGAGTGTCTGCCCCCTGGTGGTCAGTGCACGTCATAGCGACTGGTTGACCGGTCATTCTGCCATTCTGTCGCTGGGCTTTTATTATATAGGAAGGATTAAAGCTAGACTTTGCAATCTTACATGAAACTATTTTTCAGTTTCTAGTTGGCCTCCAAGGAACCGAATCACATAGCAACTCTGCATCTTTTACAAATGGCCTTTATAAGAATCACTTAAGGCAAAACAAAAATGTGTGTATAAGAGGGGGAAATAAATGGAACAAAGTCCAGCACATACACAGTGTATCATTACATTTGAACAAACCTTTTTGCTCCAAGTAATTCTGTTTTCTAAAGATAGCTTCTGGTAGTCTTTTTTTCAGAGACGACACTTTCATTACATACTTAAAATCTAGTTCATGTGGTCTGGAAAACAAAACAATATCATATGATGTAATAATCATTGCAATTATCTACAGCTTCATATGCAGTATTTGGTATTCTAATATAAATGCTAATAAAAATATTGTTAACCACAAAAAAAATTCTTAAATTGGCGAAATCCAGGTCAAATAATACACACACACATGCGCGCGCACACACAACACACACACACACACACACACACACACTCTAGAGGTCGGGTGCACGAATTCGTGCACAGGTGGGGTCTGGCCAGCCTGCCCAGATGGGGCTTGATCAGGCAGAGCTGGTGGGTGGAACGGGCCACAGGAGGTTGGATGGCCCTGCCCCCGATGGGGGGGGGGGCTGTTGGGGTCCAGGGCTGGCCAGGGAGGGGGGGGGAACAAGAGAGGTTGCCAGCCAGCCCTGTCCCCGATCAAGGTGATGGGGCCTATCGGGGGTGGGGCCGGCCGGGGGGGAGGGGCCACGGGTGGTTGGAGGGGGCCGATTGGGACCCCAATCAGGCCAGTTGGCCACTGCAGTGTGCATCATAGTGACTAGTCATTCAGGTTGTTGGGCTTTTATATATATAGATATTTCTAAATATACATTTTCAAATATATGACCCCATAAACTGTGGTTTGCAAATATGTTCACATTTTCTGAATACATGTATTTTTGGTATAACCAAAATATCCAGATGTATGGAAGAATTATGCATACTGTAATGTGAATTTGCTATGTAAGGGTTGAAAATTTGACAATATTGCATTGCCTACCATGCAATGTCACATCCAAACTTTTGTATCATTTCACCTAAATTCTTTTTTCTTCTTTAAAACTAATTTTGAAATATTTATACACTTATAGATGCCTTCTTTTCTCTTAAATATTTGTGTTCTTAAAAAAGGACATTTCCTTATAAAACCACAAAACAATGACCAAAATCAAGAAATTAACAATAATATAACACAATTAATTTACCTAAGACCTTATTCTGCCAACTGTCTCACTAAGGTCCTTTATAACGAAAGAAAAACATTTTGTAGTCCAGGGTCCTATCCAGGATGAAACACTATATTTAGGTATGTCTGTTTAGTCTCCTTCAAGCAGGAACAGTCTTTGTCCTTCTTTAATGACCTTGATATTTTTTTTAATATAAATCATTTATTTTGCAGAATGTCTCAATCCTGGTATATCTGTTTCCTCCTGACTAGAGTGGCAGGAATACCACGAAAATGATATGTGTTATTCATGTGTTTCCTGATGTGATGTACTGAACTGTTAATTCCATTCCTGATGACGATAACTTAACCACTTAGTTATGATGCTATCTGCAGTTTTTTCTTTCCATTGTAAAACCTATATTTTTCCCTTTGTAATTATTTAGTAAGTCATGGGGAAATACTGTGAGGTAAGTAAATACCATCAAACTTTCACCTACTATTTTAAGCATCCACTGATTGTGATGTTGCCAATGATGATTTTCTAATTCCATCATTCTGTCTATACTTATTAGTTGTACTCTATAGTGAGGAAGAACTTTCTCATTTATTTATTCACAGAATACTTACTTTATTCTATGGGTTATAATCTCTCCTTAAAAAAGGCCAATAGAGAAAAAAAAGAATTTTGATAGCACACTAGTTTTCGTCTTATATTTCAATTAAACTATATACACCTATCAATCATTTTCAGTACAAATTAAGACCAAATTAAAAAAGATTTCATAAAAAATTTCAGAAATGCTCTTCATTATTCTCCAGAAGAAAATACTATAATGTAAATACATAGCAGCTACTCTATTTAATACTACAGTAGCCTAAAAACTCAATGTGAATATTAGAAAATCAGATACTGCAAATCTTAATAAAGACTCGGTAATATAATTAAGTGGTTATAATTTGCTGTATCTGCTCTAGGCAAATCATTTGGGGGGGCGGGGGGAGTCTAACTTCTAGTACCAAATCATTCTCCTATGTATATATTAAAATACTAAAATTTAAAAATGGAGTTGTCAAAGATTGTAAAACAAATTTATTTAAGGCCAAGGTTAGAATTTAGATATGAATTTAGGTCTCCTGTATCATGGTCCCAGATGCTCTATACATCTGACCAAAAGTACTGTAATCCAACACAGAGTACAATTGCTGTATTTCACACCAGTGCCAACAAGCAAGAACTCAAAATGAGAATTTAAAAAAGTATACAAGCAGTAGTAAAGAATACAAATTCAGTACTTACAGCTGGATGGGAACCACTGTACCATAAGAGGACCAAAGAGTTATGTCACACAGCAGACAGCCTTTAATAATTAATTTCCCATTCCATGGGGAGATGAGAACTTTAAGAAATGAGGGTAAGAAAAAAGCAAATTATTTTACTTATGAACAAAACATTTACTTAAAAAAACCTAAAAGGACCAATTAAATAATTCCTTACCATTTTCACTGAGCTCAAGTCTAGCGGGGGGGAAAAAAAAAAGCAATTTTATAAGAGCCAAGGAAACAAAATACAGTAAAACAAAATATGTACAGAATTACTTACAAGCTTTTATGAGCTGATGCCGCCATCTTTTTAGGTTCCTTGTACTGAAAAGCTACAATTACGTAAGGATGAATCTGTCTAGGTCGCTCAATAACAGTGGCACCTGAAAGCTCATACAAATAATACTACAAGAAAAAGAATTATAATCAGGGTAACACTATAGAATTCTGTATGCACCAAGTTGATCTCAACCCACCCAGTACTGAAACTTAAGACATTAGAGGCAGAAATGTATCTTAGAAATGATTTATACCTGACTCAGTTCAAAGGCGCGAAAATGACTCGTCTTGTGAGAAACCTTGTCAGTATTTGCAGCCACATGGCAATCATAGCCAGAAGATGGGCTAATATAGTTAGTTGTATAATTCTCAGACACAAACTTGACTTTTCCCTAGAATAAAAATATTAAGACTAATCAGATGTTTTCAAATAGCAGTAATCTTATTCTAGGATTCATTTATAGGTAGCTTAATAGAGATTTCTATGTATTTCAACTGTTAACTGTGTTAAGAATTAGAAGTATGGTTCTTAGAAAATAATCTTTAAAGCCAACAATAGTTTTAATTATCCATGAACCCCTTAAAATTGCATTTAAAAATCAGGTATGTTTGGGCATCTTTCTGAGGCAGAAGTCCGTTTCTTTTATCACAATACCAAAGGAATACAAATTTAAGAGAACCATCCCTCCCAGCCCCCCTGCTTTTTTTTGTTAATCCTCACCAAAGGATATTTTTTCCATTGATTTTTTTTAGACAGAGTGGAAGAGAGGGAGAAAGAGGGAGAGAGAAGGGAGGAGGGAGAGAGGAAGAGAGGAAGAGAGGGAGAGAGAAAGAGTGAGAGAGCGAGAGAGCGTGAGAGAGAAACATTGATGTGAGAGGAACACATAGATCAATTGGTTGACCCCTGGGCTGGGGACCGAGCCTTCAACCAAGATATGTGCCCTTGACCTGAATCAAACTCAGGACCCTTTGGTTCTTGGCTGACTCTCTACCACTGAGCCAAACTGGCTAGGGCAAGAGAACCATTTCTTTAAAATAAAAATTATATAGTTTACCAAATAGATTGATTATTCAATGACTATAACATAAAAGATGACAAATGAAATCTAAAATTTCAAAAGGTGAGTTTTCAAACTGAGTATTAAGTTATCAATTGTAAATTACAGACCATGATATATCTATTACACCAGGACCCAGAAATTCACCAAGTAGCAAATATATACTAAGTGCTTAGCAGACCACTGGCCCGGACTAGTCAATAGTATTTCCCATTATAGACTTGTCTTCATCAAGGTTACATGTCTTCCAGAAAAAGAAGAAAAAAAGCAGTCAAGTTTTTTTATTTCATATCATGAAATAGCATGATTTTAAAAGCTGTTTTAACAACATGATGATACAGATAGGAAAAATAAAAATATACTAAATATATACCAAAATGAGGATGAGATTACAAATTTCATTTTTATTTTTACAAGAGAATTTAATTATTTAAAAGATGCTTTGTTTTGCTTTTGCTGTTAAGATCCTGCCTCTTTATTTATAGGACCACGAAAGGCAATTCTCTGGTCAAAGAAGCCAAAGAATGTAAACAGTAAGGAGGGCTGAGAACATGTCGGCAAAAACTAAACAGCAATATTCACCAAACAGAGAGGGGATACAGGGGCATAAACCGATGGCAGGCAATCTGGCATAAATAAAAAACCAAACATTTGTTATCTGAGCTGACTGGTACACTATCTACAGCAGAATTACGGTATTTATTGAGCAAGAGAGGGAAAACTAAGAAAGGAAAAGCAGTGATGTGTGTGCCAGTGCAACACTAATTTTCCTCTAGTTCTTGGGGACAAAATTTTGAAATATAACATATTTACACTCTTTTAAAAATAAATCAGTTGTTAGATTTATAACCAAAGAACTCAGAAAGCTAAAACAAAAGCAAAAACAAAAAGACCACAGAATATGTCTTCAAAAAATCCACCAACCTATAAAATCAGCACTTTCCTACTTGAATGAAAATTCTAATTGCAAGATTCACTCATATTGAACTATTAAAGGGTGTTTAAGAATTTCGAGATCATCAAGTTATAGGTGCCACATAAAGATGTAAACAAGGTCTGAATGTTTTAGGGATAAAGAAAATAAAGATGTCTTATTGTGACAATTTAAATCAGACAAATGTTTTCTAAATTCATCTCTTTTAACTGTAAGCACACTGTTTTACAAGCAGCTACCTGTTTTCTGTTATTTAATGTCTAAAAAGTGGCACTGTGGCCAGGCTGGTGTGGCTCAGTGATTGAGCCTCGACCTATGAACCAAGAGATCACGGCTCAATTCCCAGTCACATGCCTGGGTTGCGGGCTCAATCCCTAGTGGGGTGTGCAGGAGGCAGTCAGTCAATGATTCTGTCTCATCATTGATGTTTCTCTCTCTCTCCCTCTCCCTTCCTCTTTGAAATCAATATATATACATATATATATATGTATATATTTTTTTAAGTGGCATTGTGAGACAGGAATGAGAGGAAGACTTCACTGAGTACTGTGAAGTCTTAAAGGTTGGTTTTTTTAAAATGTAGATCATATATTAAATAAACAAAAAATCTTTGTCTTTAAAGGAAAGCAGAAATAGCAATTTCATTTTCTGATTTTTTTAAAAAATATATTTTATTGATTTTTTTTACAGAGAGGAAGGGAGAGGGATAGAGAGTTAGAAACATTGATGAGAGAGAAACATTGATCAGCTGCCTCCTGTACACTCCCCACTGGGTGTGTGCCCACAACCAAGGTATATGCCCTTGACCGGAATCGAACCTGGGACCCTTGAGTCCGCAGGCCGAAGCTCTATCCATTGAGCCAAACCGGTTAGGGCCATTTTCTGATTTTTAATAGCTGTCTTTGGTGAGGAGTATGTTTAGCAAATGATCTGCAAAGAACATTATCACAGACTGATAACCTTTACTTTTAAAAAGAAAAATTATACTGAAGTACACATACGCTTTACCTTAATTAGATTACAAATTATAATATAACCAGACTTTCCATGATACCATGGTCTTGCATGAAGACAGTCTGAGTATTTGGAAATGTATACACCTATAAGAGCATAAAATATAGATTAATTTACACTTTTAAAATATTGTTTACACATATACAATTCCAATGTAGGTCTACCCGTAGCTGAACAAGACAAAAGATAAATAAAAGTCAAAAAAAAAAAAAAAAGACAAAAAAAAAAGATAAATAAAAGTCAATATTAAAAACTGTTCTGAAACTGCTTACTTAAAAAAACACCTTTTAAAGTTATTCTAAAGGTATAGAAACATTAGAGCTAAGTAAGACAAAACATATGTAATTGATAACCAATTTTCAATTAGGGTCCCAATAATGAAAAACAAAGTGTCACACATTTTTGGAAAATTCTAAGTTTGTTTTTTCTCCATGTAATCATCCAGTAAAACGATCTATGGTAATCTGATTCTCAAGTTATTTTCTTAGTAAGTATAGTAACCCCACCTTATCTACAGAGGATACTTTCCAAGACTCCCAGTGGATGCCTGAAACCGTGTACAGTACTGTACCTATACACTGTTTTTTCCTGTACATATATACTTACTAGAGGCCCGGTGCAGGGATTTGTGCACCGGTGGGGTCCCTCGGCCTGTCCTGCACCCTCTCGGAATCTGGGACCCCTTGGGGGATGTTAAGACTGCCTGTTTCAGCCTGGTCTGCGGGGATTGGGCTGAAACTGGCATTCGGACATTCCCCGAGTAGTAGTGCACGAACGGCAGGAGCTGGGGAGTAGTCCAAGCGTGGGCTGGGCATTGCGCTGCTCCTGCTCATCCCCGCCCCGCTGCTGCACCTGCCACTGCCACCACCGCTACTCAGTAGCACTGCCTCGAAGGTGGAAGAGGCTTGCGCTGTGGCAGCTGACTTGCCAGCCATGAGCCATGCGTCTGGCACCCGCCAGTCAGCTGAGCGGTGCTCCTGCTGTGGGGGCGCACTGACCACCAGGGGGCAGCTCCTGCATTGAGCATCTGTCCCCTGGTACTCAGTGTGCGTCATAGCGACTGGTCAACTGGTCGTTCGGTGTTTGGTCATTTGGTCACTTAGACTTTTATATATATAGATGATAAAGTTTAATGTACAAATTACGCACAGGTAAGAGATGAACAACAATAACTGATAATACAATAGAACAATGATAACAATCCTATCTAATAAAGAGGGAATATACAAATGCTACATGGTGTTGGGCCAGGGCAGGGGACCTCAGGCCGCACCCCCAACCCCGGTGCCGGGGTATCTGAGGCTGTGCCCCCTACCAGGCGATGCTTGACGAGGGATCTCAGACTGCGCCCCCTGCCTGACGGGGCCTGATGGGGGATCTCAGGCCACGTCCCCTGCCCAGCAGGGCTTAACGGGGGCCTTAGGCCACTCCCCCTGCCCTGGCACCAGGCCAGGGAACCTAGGTCTGTGCACTGAGCCCCAGCGCCAGGCCAGGGGACCTGATGGTGCACTGGACAACCTGAAGCTGCACCGCCCCTGCCCAGTGGGGCTTGATGGGGGACCTGAGGCTGCGCCCCCCGCCCAGCGCCAGGTCAGGGGACCTGAGGCTGCGCCCCCTGCCTGGCGGGGCTTTAACAAAGGTGGGGCCAGCCGGGTCTGGATTTCGCCCAATGGGGGTGGGGTCAGCTGGGTCTCGCGTGATTTTGAGGTGCCACGGGTGGGCAGGGACTTGACTCTGGGTCCCACGGCGCACCCCAGACTCTGACAGGAGTAAGATTTTCATACACACTTTACTAATTTTCTTTCATCTTTGACACGTCTATTATAGAGAAAGGGCAAATAGCAATATTAAAATATTTCCTCTAATCCCCTTTTAATGTGCACGAATTTCATGCACTGAACCACTAGTTTATTATAATAAAGATTATGTAAATGTGGTCTTTCTGCTCTCCAAATATCTTCTTGCACAGCCACACCTTGTTTTATTGCTCTTTGCTTCATTATGCTTCACAGATATTGTACTTTTTACAAATTGAAGGTTTGTGGCAACCCTCCATTGAACAAAATCTTTTTTTTAAAGGTGTGTTATTATTTATTTATTTATTTATTTTTAATTTCAGAGAGGAAGGGGGAGGAAAGAATAGAAACATCAATGATAGGAGAGAATCACTGATTGGCTGTCTCCTGCACACCCCACGCTGGGGATTGAGTCCGAAATCTGGGCATGTGCCTTGACTGGGTATTGAACCGTGACCTCCTGGTTCATAGGTTAATGCTCAATCACTGAGCCATGCAGGCTGGGCCAAAATCTTAAAAAAATAAAAAAAAATGTTTTTATTGATTTCAGAAAGAGGAAGGGAGAGGGACAGAGATAGAAACATAAATAATGAGAATCATTGATCAGCTGTCTCCTGCATGCCCCCTATTGGGGATCAAGCCTGCAACCTGCACAGGAATCAAACCATGACCTCCTGGTTCATGGGTCAATGCTCAAGCACTAAGCACTAGCTGGGCTGAACAAAATCTTTTGATGCCACTTTCCCAACAGCACATGCTCTCCTGGGGTCTCTGTGTCACACTTTGGCTAATTCTTACAAAACAAAGTGGGGCAAAAGAAGGTTTACAGTTATACATGAACGCACACAGAGTTTGTTCTTGTATTATTATATTATTTTCTATACAAACAACTGTAAACCTACTTTTATCCCACCCTATATTTCAAACTTTATTATTACATTTGTTGTTTATTTGTGATCAGTGATATTTGATATTACTATTGTAATTGTGTTAGGGCATCATACACCATGCCCATATAACACACTGAACTTGATAAATGTGTGGGTCCTATTGGGCATCTTCTTCTAGACAAGTCTGGTTTCATCAAAACTGAAGGTTTGCTTTGGATGGTATACTTTTCCTTAATCAACTTCTTCCATTTTTCTGGAAATGTGGCAGCAGATCCTTCACAGGCTAATGTAGCCTCTTCAGTAATTTTTAAAAATTTCAGTCCAAACCTATTGTTGAATCAGTGTAACCATTCCTTACTTGCAGTAAATGGCTTGGTGCCACTCATTTCAGGGGGTCCCTTGCTAAAGTCTTCATATAGGCTAAATGCTTTCTTGCACAAGACAGTCCCATCGATTGGAACACGTTTTCTGTTCATGTCATGTCTCCCACCCACAACTTTAATGCTTCTTTTATCTTAAGCACTTACACATTGCCTATAACTTTTGCAGTTTGAGGTGTGACAGAAAAACTAGCACTAATTGTTTTGCCCCTTTTCACAATTTCACAGATAGAATATTTGTTCTTATCATAGATTTTAGTAACCTCAGCATATAATTTTTTCTTTATTAAATCAAGAACTTTCATCTTCTCACTTAAAGGCAGCATTTTAGGGCTTCTCTTTGGTATATCTGAATTGCTGATATCACTACTCTTAGCTTTGGGGCCATTATTAAGTCAAATAAGGGTTACCTGAACACAAACATGATATCATGACAGTTGATCTAATAACTGAAAGGGCTACAAAGTGACTAATGGGCGGGGAGCATATACAGTGTGGAGATGCTGGACAAAGTGACGATACACGTCATGGATGGGATGGCACAAAATTTCGTCATGCTGCTCAGAATGATGCAATTTAAAACTTAGGATTTGCTTATTTCTAGAATTTCTCATTTGACAGCAGGTAATGGAAATCATGGAAAAGTGAAACTGCAGATAAGGGGGACTATTATACTCTTATTTAATAACATGTACCAAGGTTTACTATATGGTACGTCTTTGCTAGGCAGCTGTGATACAAAGGGAAATAAAGTAAGGTCCCTGTCTTCAAGCAGCTTATTCTGCTAAACTGTAAATTCTAGTAAAACATGGGTTATATTTGTTTTGTTCACCATTGTACTTACATCATAGCTCAAAATGTAGCATGTTCTTAATTATTTATCAGACATATTAGAGGCCCAGCATATTCAAAAGAAATTAGAAGGTGGCCTGGGCAAGACGGGCTGGACATGCCCTGGATCCAACCTCTCGCGTTCCCTCCCTGGCCGGCCGCACCTGGGGCAGCACCGATGCTTAAAGGGCAGCTGTGGACTGAGCGAGGTCCTTCTGGCAGGTGGGGTCCCTCGGCCTGGCCTGTGGGGATTGAGCCAAAACCTACAGTCTGACATCCCCCTAGGGGTCCCAGAGTGCAAGAGGGCACTCTGCAAAGTTGCTATTGCTCGGCAGCTTCTGCATTGAGTGTCTGCCCCCTGGTGGTCAGTGAGCATCACAGCCGGTCAAATGGCTGAACAGTCAGGCGGTTGCTTAGACTTTTATATATATAGATATTACATTTGAGGACACACAGAAGTAGAACTAATTAAGTAATTAAATCTGTCTGAGAAAGGAGTTCTTTTCTTTTTTAATTTATTTGTTTATTGGTAATATATTTTTATTGATTTCAGAGAGGAAGGGAGAGGGAGAGAGAGGTAGAAACATCAAAGATGAGAGAGAATCATTGATTGGCTGCCTTCTGCATGCTCCCTACTGGGGATCAAGGCTGCAATTTGGGCATGTGCCCTTGACTGGAATCGAATCCAGGCCCCTTCAGTATGCAGGCCGATGCTCTATCCACTGAGCCAGACCAGTTAGGGCAAGAAAGGAGTTCTTTAGACACAGAGAGGAAAACAATTCTAGGTAGAGAGCAGAGTGAACAAAAGTATGAAAGCATAAAAAATCATAAATTGTTTATAACAGTAGGCCAGTGTTGAAAGCAGGAGAGAAAGTGGTGAAAGCTGAGGTTGAAAAGAAAGCTTGAAACTATATAGTAAATATTTTTGTAGAATAGCTTAGACTTTATTTTGTAGGCAATAGATACTGATCAAATCTGAGTCTCTAAAGGGGAGAGACAAGAACTAAACCAAACAGAAAAACAATTATAGGAGTTGAGAAAGGAGAGAAGGATCCCCCCCAAGGCAGCAGAGCAGCAGTGAGGAGGAGGAGGAAAGGACAGATTTCAGAGATATTCCTGAATGTAGATCTCGCACTTGAAATGTAAAAGACAATGGTGAGAACACTTTGATATAATCAAAGAATAATGAACTAGTGGTCAGAATTTTAGGTTCCAGTTCCAAGTTTTCCATTTACTAATAACAACCATGTGACTGAGGAGTATGTTACTGAAGAGGGAGATGGCCTTAGAGCACAGATACATAAGCCACAGGGTTCTCAAGAAGAGAAAGAACAACAGCCTCTTAAAATTATATAACACTACTTTAATATAAAGTACTAGAGGCCCGGTGGCCCAGTCTGCACCCTCTCCAATCTGGGACACTGAGGGGGACATCCCCCTCACAATCTGGGACTGCTGGCTGCTAACCGCTCACCTGCCTCCTGCCTGATTGCCCCTAACTGCTTCTGCCTGCCAGCCTGATTGCCCCCCTGCTGGCCTGATTGACGCCTAACTGCTGCCCTAATGGCCCAATTGCCCCAAACTGCCCTCCCCTGCCAGCCCCCAACTGCCCTCCCCTGCTGGCCTGGTTGCCCCCAACTGCCATCCCCTGATGGCCTGGTCGCCCCCAACTGCCCTCCCCTGCAGGCCTGGTCACCCCCAACTGCCCTTCCCTGCCAGCCATCTATGGCAGCCATCTTGTGACAATGTGAGGGTGTTGTGCGAGGGCACGAGGACCACCTAGGCTTTTATTAGTATAGATTACTATTACACACAGAACAACCCACTTCAACTTGAGCCCGAAACTATAAAATACACAGAGGCAGTGATGCAATTTTATTAGCACCAGTATATGTGTTTAAGAAGAATGTGTATTTGTTAGGAATATACAGCTTCTACTCAACCACCCTATGAAGCCAGCCTCTCAAAAATCATCAATAAAAGCATTGGATTGTAGAAAAATGGCCTTACTTTTTAGTGATGTAAGCTGAGGTATTTACTTGTAATTTACTTTCAAATTCTTCAGCAAAGAAACAAACAAACCCAAAAACCCAAACAAACCAACCAAAAAAACAACCAACAAAAAACCAAAGTTTTTTTTAGGAAAGGAAGGCAATGATGCAAAACATCTGCTAGACATACATGATGGGTATATTATACCATGTTCTCTTCTATGGTAGTATCCTATCTAATAATAGACAAAAAAGGGTAATTGACTGTACCTTCGCTACACCTCCCATTGGCTAATCAGCGTGATATGCAAATTAACCGCCAACAAAGATGGCGGTTAATTTGCATACGTAGGCTCCAAGTGGCAGAGCGAAGACTGAAGGCGAGCCGGAGCAGCGAAGACGGAAGACGGAAGGTGGCTCTGGCTGGGGCTGTGAAGACAGAGGACGGAAGGCAGCTCCGGCTGGGGCCGCGAAGCCGGAAGACAGAAGGCGGCTCGGGCCAGAGCGAAGGCCTGGGTCCCGGGTGCCGGAGGAAAACCGGTGCCCGCGGCCAGGAGAAGGAAGGCCTATTGCACGAATCTCTTCGTGCAACAGGCCTCTAGTCTATATATATAAAGAGCCAGGGTCCGTAACGACCAAAGGCTCGACATAACACCAGGGTCCATAACGACCAAAGGCTCGACATAACACCGTGGCAACGCAGCACTGACTTCAGCCAGTGCTAGGGCAGCGACCCAGCACTGACTGCCAAGGGGGCTACGGATTAGGCCCGGAGAGAGGCCTGCAGAGAGAGAGGCAGGATCTGATATGCAGCCTCAGTTGCAGCTGTTGATCAGCCATTGCCTCTCTTTTTCTCTGGGCTTCACCAGCAGTTGCGCCTCTGTTTCTCTCCAGGCCTCCGTGGGGCTGCTGATCAGCTCCACCTCTTTGATCAGGTCCAGAGATAGGCCCAGAGACAATGACTGGCATAGAAACCGACTAATCAGAACCAAATCTGGGTGAAGTACCAGGAGCCAATGGCTGCCTAGGAGGCGGAGCTTTTGACACTGACTGGCATAGAAACCAACCAATAGAACCAAATCTGGGTGAACTATAAAGGCAGAACCTAAGGTAAGGGCTGAGGAGGGATTTAAAGGGCAACAGCTGTTTGGTGTAAGGTGTAAGAAAGCAGTTCAATTTTTTAATGACCGCTTTGGCAGTATAGTGCATATGGCTGGCTATCAGTCCAGATATAGGGATTATGTGTTTTTGTTTGCCAAAACCATCTCCTCCTGCTGAAAAAGGTTCCCCCCGCCATTTAAGCAACCCTATCCTATATAATCTATCTATACTAATAAAAGGGTAATATGCTAATTAGACTGGGTCAACTGGCCATCTTCTGGATGTCCGACTTCCTTTCGGACAAAGCCATGGTGGTGGGGGCTGAGGCAGAGGCAGTTAGGGGTGATCAGGCGGGCAGGGGAGGGCAGTTGGGGGCGAGATCAGGCCGTTGGGGAGGTCAGTTGGGGGCGAGATCAGGTCAGCAAGAGAGGGCAGTTAGGGATAATCAGGTAGGCAGGCAGAGGCAGCTAGGGGCGATCAGGCAGGCAGGCAAAGGCAGTTAGGGGTGACTGGGCAGGGAGGCAGGTGAGTGGTTAGAAGCCAGCAGTCCCAGATTGCGAGAGGGATGTCTGACTGCTGGTTTAGGCCCGATCCCTGTGGGACATCCCCCAAGGGGTCCCCAGATTGGAGAGGGTGCAGGCTGGGCTGAGGAAACCTACCCTCCCCCGTGCATGAATTTTGTGCATCGGGCCACTAGTTTTTCATAATGGAAAGAAGGAGGGGTGTGTGTGAAAAAGAATAGGCAAGAAGAAAGAGGTTTTATGTACCATAAAGTGCCACTGGGTTATGAATTTATCCCCTTTCATGTCTTTTAGAAGAGCTGAATGTAAGTTTTAAAAAATTTTGTTTTAGACAGTTACCACATGACCCAGCAATTTTACTCCTGGTATATAACTGAGAAATGAAAACACACACCTATACAAAACTTGTCATGAATATACACAGAACTTTTTATAATAGCCAAAAGGTGGAAACAACCAAATGTCCATCAACTGATGGGTTAAAAAAACATGGTATAACCATACAATGAAATATTATTCAGCCAAAAAGGGAATAAAGTACTGGTACATGTACAACATGGATGAACCCCAAAGGACACTAAACTAAGTAAAAGAAAAAAAGTCTCAAAAGATCATATATGACTCCATTTATATACACTATCTGGAATAGGCAAATCCATTAGGCAAGAAGTAGATTAGAGACTACCTGGACTAACGGTAGCTAACAGGTGCAGGACTTCTTTTTAGGGTGATAAAAACAGTCTAAAATTGTGCTGTTGGCTGCACTAAAAAACATGAAATCGTACATTTTAAATGGATGTATTATCTTGTATGTTAATTTTATCTCAAAAAAGATATATTTTTTTAAAAAATCAGCAGGAATTGAGCCATGAAGCTCAATCATCATTCTCAGTCTGGATTCTGTAGCACCTGATACAGCTATATATCCCCCCACTTAGATCCTTCTGTTTTCTGTAAAACTCTACCTTCTGATTCTTCATCCATTATACTGTTCTTGACTGCTCCTCCTTCTACACCTTCCCCATCCTCCCCTTCCCTCAGTCCCATTCGATTCAAAAGTTCTGTTCTTTGCCATTTTTTCCTTCTATATTGTTCTATGTAACATTATGTTTGGCTTCAACTAACACCAACCCCCACCACCTTGACCTGAAATCTCCATTTCTAATTCCTTTTCCAATTATTCTTACCACCACTACGATATCTTTCAGAAATGCTTATGAAAATATCATTATTTTTCAAATTCAACTCATAAAAGTAGTAGTGTCCAATTACTGAGAGTTTACTAGGTTTGTGCTGTTTTCAGTACTTTACAGAATCTCATGTACTTTCACAAGAAATCTAGAAGACAGAGTTTTACCTTTCCTATATAATAAAAGGGTAATATGCAAATTGACCGAATGGGGGGAACGGCCAGTTGCTATGATGTGCACTGTCCATCAGGGGACAGACGCTCAATGCAGGAGCCAGGCTCACGGCTGGTGAGCGCAGCGATGGTGGCGAGAGCCTTTCCCGCCCCCGCAGTAGTGCTAAAGATGTCCGACTGACATCCCCTGAGGGCTTCTGGACTGTGAAAGGGCACAGGACCCTCCTCCCCCCCGCCCCCTGCCGTCCCAGTGCACGAATGTGTACCAGGCCTCTAGTCTTATATATGAGAAAATTGAAACTTAAAGAAATTTAGTGCTAATTTACATTCTCAATCATACGATTTACCTCTTTTATCAGCTTCCAACCAATCTTCTCCCCTTCTGTGTCTCTTTTCTATCAGTAATATCACTGTAGTGTAAGTTTAAATCTTTATTTCCTTTCTCTTACTCCTCACATTCCATAGTTGCCAAGTTTGGTTAGTTCTATATATATTCTCTATTCCTATTGCCATTATGATAGCATAGAAGAGAGCCTCACTAAACTGTATGACTATAATAATCTCTTGGCACTAAAAGTATCTTTTCTAGTCCAACCAACTTTTATAAACAAATTCTGATCATGTAACTTCTATTGGAAAACATTAGGCAAAAGCTCATTTATATGATACAGTCTATTCCAAAGATTATTATTTATCATTAATGAAACTGGCTTTTAATGTGGGTATCTTATGAAATAAACTATACCCTACTTCATTTTGTAAAAGAAGAAATTCTTTTTTCTTACCTTTTGCTGGGTCACCCAGAGTGGTAATAGCACTGCTGCCAATACAGAGTCCACGCCGACATACTAATTTTGCCTTTAAACAAAAGACAGTACTTCGCTTACCACATTCATCTTGGGAGAGGTAATGAATGAACACTGTAATCTATAGGCTTTCAAATAAATATAAAATCTTTACACTATACATATTTACGGCACAAGGCAAGGTTATGTAAGGCTACTGCATCTGGTTAATAGTTCAAATTTTTTCATGAAAGCCACCATTTCTGTTAACAAAAATGTCACCAGCAAAACCAAATTAAACAAGATCACAGGTAAGTCCTTTCTTAAAGTTTTCTTTTTCAAATATAGCTTTGGAAATGTTTTACTCCCAAATATGTTTTGTAGTACAAATCCATAGCACATCTTATTTGGAAGTAGCTGATTAAATAAAATATCCTGGTATTACTATAATATCTTTATATTATAGACTAATATTAAACATTCTGTAAGTAAACCTACCATTGCTTTTAAAAAAACCATTAACCCTACTAAAACATCACCTTTGAATGATGTTAAAATTATATCAAGGTGCCAAACACATCTTTGGGACATACCCTGCACACAGTTTCCTTCTCCCACAAGTCAGGTAAAAGCAACAATATGGATGTTCAATCTTCAAAGATGGGAATGAAATAATTCCAACTAACTAGAATGCTGAAAGTGCCCATTTTATCTCCAAAACTGTATCATTTAAACCTGAAAAACCTCCATAAAGAATAGAAAATATCTATGTAAACAATGATACATAATGGAGAAATAGCCATTCATTCCATTAAAAGGCATTACTGTTACCTAAGAAACCTGTATTAATCCAAATCTGACCAGTTTACAAATATATTTAAGATAAAACTAAAATAGACCTATAAAAAGTTGCAGAAATCAAATCTCTTTCATAACTAGCTTCACTGACATTTACATTGTTACCAAACTAAGTAACAAAAAAGGCTGATGAACTGTTAATCTTATAATACTTACTTAAAGTAAAAAGCCAATACTTAAGTTTAATAATTTATTTTGTACATTAATTCACAAATTTAATTTTATACTACCTAATTCCCTTACCTGATTTTCACTTTCAAACAGAAGAAACCCGTAAGTTTCTTGAAGCTCTTCCTGAGTGTAGTTACTTGCTTTTTTTTCTTGGTAAAAATTTTTGTACTATATAAAGAGAGAATAACCAAATGGTATAAACATGTTATTTTGCCTTGCAAGTTAATTTAAAAAATATATATCATCTGAATTGCTCCTGCTAAAGACTAATAAAATTTATTTTTCTATTCTTTAGATTATTACCTTCCAAGTGACTGTTTCTAAGAGTCTTTTATCTAATTTGAAAAGAGATAGCTTAAAAGAACTACGCTTATATACCCCAAATGATGGTTCTTTAAAGCTAAAATAAAACTAACACACAGACACAGTGTGTACCAAGCACCTCACCTCATTTAAGAAAATGTCATTTTTCACCAAAGTCACTTGACTGTATTGAAAACCATGCTCAGATGCAGAGTCCAAGTAAGAAGTATGGAGAATTGAAACTGCCCTCTGGAAGAGAGAGTCTGAACTCAAGGACACTGTCTCAAAAACTGTAAAACACAAACAAAAATAATGCAACTGTTTAAGATAACCAAAGGAAGGGATTAAAAGTGATATACTAAATACTTCATCTATTTCCTTCCTATATAACTAAGACTTTTACCATGTGTTTTGGCAATCATATCTTAATTTAAAAGACCTCTCATATGAAGAAAATAATCTAAATGAATTACAATTTAGGGTGAATTATTTTCAATACAAGAGTAAAATGTACTCTGCCGATCCCTTATGGCTGTGGTTTAAGCTGGATGTTATAACGTACTGTTAAGTTGGTGGTCAGCAATCACTCAGACCAATGTTTCACATCTTTATGATTTTTTAAACCTATGTCATTATTTTGATAAATTTACCCTTTCCGTCTTCTCATCAAATCCCCACGTACATCTGTTGGGCTCTTTTTAAGGAGCCTACTATTGCACACTCAGCAAACACATTAGAAATCATTGTATCTTTGGGGTTTCCTCACAAGCTTAGATATGTCTATTGAACATCTTATGGTTTGTATTATAAAATCATTTTTTCATTTTACAAAAATAAAACTTTATTACTTTTTTAAAGTGCTATTTTCAAACCATACTCATGTGCTATCCCACATATTCTGATATGCCCTTCCCATGAGAGGCATGTTTCCTAATTGAGAATTGCTGACTCAACCTAGTATTTCTCTTGATGTGAGCCTTTGTGCCTTTTGATTTTACAAGTCTTTAGCAAGAACTGAACCTAATAACTTCTCATAATATTAAACCATTTGATTTGTTTACTCCTTTCTATTTATATCTTCTCTACTTTCTTTAACAAGGCTGGGAAGGAGTGTACAAACTGATAATTTATAAATAAGAGAGAGCATGGAATAATTTATATGGCACTGTTAGGTTTTAGTCATATAGTACAAATAAATACATTAATGCGGCTTCCTACTTTTACCAGAACTCTGCAAGTTACAGTTCAAAAGTTAAAGGAAAAAAAGCGTATTATTATTATTAAAAAATATGTTTTTACTGATTTCAGAGAGGAAAGGAGAGGGAGAGAGCGATAGAAACATTAATGATGAGAGAGAACCATTGATAGGCAGCCTCCAGCATGCCCCCACTGGAGATCGAGCCCGCAACCCAGGCATATGCCCTTGACCAGAATCAAACATGTGACCCTTCAGTCCACAGGTTGACACTCTATCCACTGAGCCAAGCCAGCTGGGGCAAAAGCATATTATTTAAAATTAAATTATTAACAACAAGTAAGAAAAAAAGAAACTAGACTATCACAGAAATGAAAACAAACATTTCAGTGAAATTAATTTGGACTAAACTGTCCTAGCACTTCAATTATAAAGTTAGCTTAAAATGCTTTATAAAAAAAAACTTCCCACTACAAACAATGAAAGATTGTAAACAGCAAGGAAGGAAAGAAAAGAGGATGAAACACTTAAGAATATTCTGAAGTGGTATATCTGATCCATATCAATTCTGTTTTACTTTTTCTCAGTTTCACTTTCTCCTTCACTATCAGTATAATAGTGCTATACAAAATAAAGATATTCTAAAGAGATTAAAATAGCAAAACACCCATGGTAATAAAACTTATGGCTTTCTAAAGCTGTATTACTTAAACTAGGAGGTCTATGCATTTGCAAATTCATCTTACAAAAGCTTAAATACAAATCAGAATTCGTTTAAAAATTATAAATTTGGAAACCTGTATTTAATATTTTAAAAAGGCAATATAATATAAAAAATGTAACTACCTTGAAGCTCAATATTTGAGAATATATTGCTTCCAGTGACAGAAACAAAAGTTATCACTGCTTTGAAAATGAACTTTTTATGACTATCAATTTCTCTAAATTCTACAAGATGTTAATAAATAGGCACGTTTTAAGTTTCATAAGTACTGAATACTACTGTAGCCCTATTTTTGAGTGTTAAAACACAATAAACTGAAAACTGTAAAAGCAGTGCAATTGAAAAAAAACCATACCTAACACAGTGTTTCCCAAATACATGTAGTCAGAGAACACTTTATACCAGTGTGCAGAGTATTGTTCCCAATAAAGCTACTAATAAAGATGATTTAAAATAAACAAGAAAATAAGTAAGCACAACAACAAAACATGTAAAGATACCAAAAAAGGAGAAACACGTAGGAAATAAATTACTTTGTGCTTATATATTTTTATTTCTAAAACTATTTCTTTTTAGTTAAAAATGCTCCCCTTTAGGTCAGCATCTTCCAAAGAGCAATATATATACAAAAGTAATTCTTTTATGGTTAGAAGGGAAAGCATGTCAAAAGCCATGGTGTTGAAAATCACAGTAAATCTTCAATCTTTCATGACTTCATAAATTACTTCAATTATACTCTCAAGAAAGCACGAGTTTCCTACTCTATATATAAGATAGTTGAGAATTTTATTGAGGAATTATTTAACAGTATCTCTCCTTACATAATATACTTTCATTTAAGAATCTAACTTATATAAAACGGTAAATCTAACTTATTATAAGCGGTAAATTAATGGTCTCATGTTTTGCTAAGCAATACACATTATTTATACATTCAAGGTTGTAAGAATATTAGGAGAATGAAGAGGGGACTGCTGCACAAAGAAACCTAGTACATCTAAAAAAGTAACTTGAAAAGTAATCTCCCCTTTTTCAAATCCATTAGAGATACTGAGTATCTAGTTTGTGGTACTTTTTTTTTTTTTTTTTTAACTTCTAATAAAAGGGATCTGAAAATGATAAACGGATTTCTGATGGTATATCATAGGTATATTTTTCATTCTATAAGCATCTGGTCTAACATCAAATAATGAGATGAACTAATGCCAACAACTCAGGTGTCCCAAAACTCTGACAAAAATCAACCACTTCTACGTCTCCCCAGAACTTTCATTACCTGTCTGTGCATTAAACAACAGCACTTATCAATAAGAGAAATGCTCAGATATAATATCTGACATTAAAGGTCCTTATTAGTATCCCCTATAGATGGATTGCAAACTACACCTCCTAGTACTATCTATGCCTATATACTTTAAGTCTAAGCAGGCCATTTGATAGTTGTTGAAGAAATAGCCTACCCCTTAATCATCTAATTCTAAATGTATTACCTTTACTTTTAATATACTAAAGAATTGCCAGTTTAAGATAAATACAACTTTTTTAGAGCACAGTTTGGTAGGGCCTAACAAAAACTTAAAAATGTGCATACCGAATAACCATTCCATTTATGAGAATCAACTCCTCAGAAACACTAGCGTAAGTACACAGTATATATGTACAAGGGTGTTTCATGCACCAGAATCCATAATAGCAAAAACACTGGAGATAATGTAAAATTGCCATCAACAGGGAAACACATTGCATTTACTAAGTAAAATAAACTTGCATATACTGGCATATAAAGATATCTATTATATACTACGGAGTAAATAACATGCATTATATAATGTCATTTTGGTTAAAAACAAAACAAAACAACAATATTCCAAATTATGTGTTTGAAAGTATACAGATAAAAATCTAGAAAGATGGGAAACCAATTTGTTAACAGTGTTTAAACCAATGGTTATTGAGAGTGGGAAATGGTTAAAATGGGAACTTACATTTTTTACTTTATACATACTTCTACAAATTTAGGTTTTTCCTATATAAGCATATATTCTAAGATACCTTAATTCAGAATCAAGTAAAATACATCATAATTAAAAAATACAAATGAGGAGTATGACAATTTTCCTACAATTTAAAAATTTAATCAATCACTTATCAGTTATGGACTAATGATTTAAAGGAATTTGTAGATATTGAAAATTATAAATTTTAAAAGTTCTTTCATATGATTAAAACTAAAATTTAAAAAGTTATACTGGTCTACTTTGAATTTATTAGTAATAACTTATTGCATTTAGTTTAATACCCACTGTTTTCTGATATGAACCCTGTCCTGGTCTTCTCTAAGAGAGAATGTAGCTGGGAGGGTGGTCTTAATTCATTTTCACCAAGTATACCCCCAGAGTTCTTGACATAGTCCTGTTTCCTGTTAATGCCATAGATGCTAAAATGAAAAAAGAAAAAATTATATCGTAAAATGAGTAGTTCGATTTACAGCATATCTACTATATAAGCAAATAATTACTGGCATCTAATTTGCATTAGGTACAATTCTGTAATGGTTACCTCCTATGACAACTCTACAGAACTAAGGGCTAAAGTTGCTATATAAGCAGTAACACACATAAAATGAAATGCTTTTCCTTCAACATATATTTTTTTAAGTTTTAAAGAAAATTTTGTCCACAGAAATAAATTATGCTAATAAAATCCCTTTTGCCTCTCTGGGAAAAAAAAATCCTTCAAAATGAAGAGATTATAGAATCACATTCATAGTCTACTGGTTGGAAATGGCAAAATCAAATAGAACACAAATAAAATATCTCCCCACACAATTTGGTAGTACCTAACAAAAACTTATAAATGTGCATATCAAATAACTATTCCATTTCTAAGAATCAACGGCTCAGAAATACTAGTGTCAGTGCACAGGACATATGTACGAGGGTGTTCCATGCACCAAAATCCATAATAGCAAAAACACTGGCAAAGTCATAAATTAATCATATGATTCATCAATTCATTAAACACATTAGTGACAATTATTACATACCCAATATTAGAAAAAGTCTCTACAATGAAAACTATTAGATTAGAAAGAAACTAAGCCTGTAAAGAAACTAAGTACTATAAATGTGTAGGAGAATCTAGAACACAATATAGTGAGTACATTATGGTACAAACAACTAATTTCATTGATATGTTAAGAAAGATTTCAGAAAGGCAGAGATTCTTGAAATCTGAATAAGTACTAAAAACAATAAGTCAAAGAAGGGCATAGTGTATATGTTTTCTAGGCAATGGAACAAATCCAGAGGTAGAAACAAGATACATGTAAGGAACTGCAAGTTGTTTTTTATTTGAGGAATTCAATATGCTTTACAAAAAGCAATTTAAAATCACATGTATAGTTGTATAATTTTACACTTTCCCCCTTGCAAAAGTATTTGAGTCAGAATTGTGTGGATATGAATAGTTTTAAGAAACAGTAGCAATATGATAATATTCATAAGCAAGTAGATTATGTGAAGAAGGGAGAATTAAATTGGGAATCAGGATACCAGTATTCTACTGCAGGCCTATCATTAACTTGTTTTGACACCTTCCTGTGATATTACTGACTGCCTTCCCAATAATAATGCCCCTTTTTCTTCCCTTCTCCCAAACAAGCAATTTTGGTTAGGTATTGGGTGATCCAAAGCTTCAGGAGAGGCTTGGGAGCAGGGTGTGTGTGCATATCCCAAATAATCTAAGCTCATTATGGTAATTTCATTCTCTTTGGTTAGTGATTGTTTTAGGAATAAACATGTGACTCAACTCTGGCCAAGACTCTACAAAGAGAATTCTGGAAAAGGTTTCTTACAAAAGAACAGGAGGAAAAGGTGCACTCTTCCTGACTCCATCCTTTTCTAGCCTTAAGGCTTTATCTGAAGATGGGTTTCTTGTCTGGAACTCCCAGCACCAAAGATTAGATTGAGCAGCCAACACAATGTTGATGGAACCAAAAAGAAAGACTCTAGATCCTTCAGGAAGTCCTAGAACTGTTGAATGAACAGGAGCTGCCTTGCCTCTGAATCTTTTGACATGTAAAATTAGAGGCCCGATGCACGAAATTCGTGCAAGAGTAGACCTTCTTTTCCCTGGCTGCCGGCACCGGCTTCCCTTGCAGCCCTGGCTTTGTTTTGAAGGATGTCCAGTCTAATTAGTATATTACGCTTTTATCATTATAGATTATAAATTATCCTGACTGTTTAAGTCATTTTGATTGGCAGCTGAAAGCACACTATGAACCTTGTTAAATTATTTGTTCTAAAGCCTCATCCTATATAATAAAAGCCTAATATGCTAAGTGTCCAGTCATCTGGTCAGCCATTCAACTAATCAAAGTATAATATGCTAATGATATGCTAAGGTCATCCAACCACTCGCTAAGACCGTGCACTGACCATCAAGGTGCAGACAGTCGACTGGTCAATCAGTCATTATGACATGCACTGACCACCAGTGGGTAGACGCTCCAACCGGTAGGTGAGCTTGCTGCTGGGGTTCAGCTGATTGGGACTGAGCGAGATGGGCTGGACATGCCCTGGAGCCCTCCCACAGCCCCTCCCCAGATGGCCAACATCCTGCATCTTTCCCCAGCCCCGATTGTGTACTGATGGGGTCCGTTGGCCTGGCCTGTGCCCTCTCGCAATCTAGGCTGAGGAACCCTCTTCACCCCCAAGTGCACGAATTTCGTGCACTGGACCTCTAGTTTAGCTATAATTATCTTTCTAAGGCACTTTTCAGTGCTAACACTGTGACTATAAATCTGCCTTACTGAAGGCCTAGTATGTCTGAGGCATTGGGAACTGCACTAGATAATTTATCAAATTCCTTCTTTATTTGTTGCCATGAAGAGACATTTATCCTAGTATTTATTAGCAAGGAAGCACAAAAGTTAATATAACTTTTGTGAAAACTCGAAACTTAAAATACAGCAAAACTTCAATATAACAGATTAATTTAGGAGTGGGGATATTTGTTAAAAGTTGAAATTCCATTATATAATAGAGTAGATTTTCCAAATGCATATGTTTAAAAATTGACAAATTAGTGAGTTTACCTGTTTTTACTTAGGTAGTAGTCACATTTGTGTAATTAAAATTAAGTATGTACAAAAAGTTAAATTTCACCCAAAAGTTTTCTGTATGTATTACTGTAATTTTTCCAACATATGGCCTATTCACTAAAGTTTGTTAAAAATAACAATGAATTAATTACAACAAAAACCCAACATGTTAATTTTCACATGTGACACACAGACCAGAAATTTTGTCTGTTAAATTTGAAGTCTGTTAAATTGAGGCCGCAAAATCAAGGGTTTACTGAATGAGGTATTTAGTCTTTGCTTGATTTCCACCTTCTCAATAAATCTACCTTCTCCCAGGCACAAGCGCAAAATAACCTTGATTCTTATTACTATTCATGTAATGTCCCTCTTTAGCCACTTATAGTCTGATTTTCCATTCTGTGTCTAAGTTTTTCTCATATTTAAAGCCTAGTTCAAGATCTAGCTTCTCTGATGTCTTAAGATTTTTTTAGCTTGCATTAATCATTCTTCATAAGTGTTCCACAGATATCTACCACAGTCCTGTTAAATGTATATCTCTGCACTAGAGCTGGGGATAAGCGGAGAAAACTGAAGACCTGTTTGCTGGTAGTCTTTAACATTTAGGTCATAATTTCAGAATTATGAGTGAAACAACTGTGTTCAGGACAATCTCCTCCTCAGACTAAAGGGAGGTGATTAAGGGCATGGACTCTGGAATCAAAGGACTTGGAAAGACAAGATTTTGAACCCAGGTCTTTCTAGCTTTGTGGCTTTCTAGCTTTGTGACAGGAATGTGCCAGAACAAGAAAGCTATTTAATCTTCCTTCCCCTTCTTTTTAAAAATAAATTTCAACAAAGTATATACACTGAATAAAAAGCCAAATGCCACTAGGCTTATCAGTTATTGCCCTCACCCTCCCAGGGCACCCTATTTTCAATTCTATTAAGTGACCACTTTCAACTTTAGCTGTGTCTTCTGGTATAACTCCATGTTTCTAAATAAAATACCTGTATAAACTTTAGATATTCCTTTAATGAAAAACACCTTTCCACACACACATAAAAATACACTTCTTCCCATCCTCTCCTAGTAATATCATTATTTTTGTTAAATCAGTATTCAATGTTTCACTAAATTGTATACATTAATCATGAGTGAGCCACAATGGTTAGTCAATTTCCTTTCTTACACAACATTTTGTTTTTCTGACTTTCAAATTGCCTATGCTTAATATTCAGTTACCAATTAGTATTTCAGCCTAAAATTGTACTACAGCACTAAAAATAACCTCTGAATAGATAGATACATCAAGTGTTTTTGAAGAGCTCCTTTGTGGAGCAACATGTGGTTCAGCTTCAGTCTGTATTTGTGCTTTCTGCTAGCTTTGTGACCTTGTTGGAGGATGCTGAGATAAAACATTGATCTACATATGTTCAACACAATTTCAGTTTGCAGAAACTGATGACCTGATTTTTAAAATGTATGGGAACCCAAAAGATTTAGAACAGCCAAAATAATTTTGGAGAAGAACAAAGTTGAAGGACTCTGAGTTTAAAAATTACTATAAAGCTAAAGTAGTCAAGACTGTGGTGTTGATGTAAAGATAATACCTACAGATCAAAAAACAGCATAGAGAATTCAGATTTTTCAGCAACACTGCCAATATACTTCAATAGGGAAAAATCATTTTTACAACAAATTGTGCTATAACAACCAAAACAGAAAAATCCATAGAAATATTTTTGATTTTAGAGAGAGGAAGGGAGGAGAGAAAGAAGGAGGGAGGGTGAGAGAGACATCGATCAGCTGTCTCATATACGTGCCCTACTCAGAATCCAGCTTGCAAAAAAAAAAAGTTGAATATAGCTCTGGCCAGTACTGCTCAGTGGTAGAGCTTCAGCCTGAGCATAGAAGGGTCAATGGTTCGATTTCCTAGTCAGGGACACTTACCTGGGTTGCAGATTCATTCCCAACCCTGGTCGTGGGGAGGAAGGAAACCAATTTTTCTTTTCTCTCTCTTTCCCCTCCCTTCCACTCTCTCTCTCTAAAAATCAATGGGAAAAAATATCCTTGGTTGAGGATTAATGAAAAAAAAAAAGAGAAAGTTGAGAATACTGCGCGGGTCTAAGCCATCAGTCGGACATCCCCTGAGGGCTCTCGGAGGGCGGAGTCCAGGCTGAGGGACCGCCCCCACCCCGGGGGCATGAGTTTTCATGCACCGGGCCTCTAGTTATTTAAAATAGTGAAGATACAGAAATAACCGAGGTGTCCATGGATAGATGAATGAATAAGGAAGAGATGGCACACACACACATTACACACCAATAAAGAATAAAATCTTGCTATTTGC